TCCAAAAGCTACGCGCCGTTTGAGGTACGCGCGTCCCACGAAAGGAACTCCCGAGGAGCTTAAGGTGAAGCACGATCGAAAGCGGAAGGGTCAGGCGTGGACCTTGGGCGATTTATTGTCGATACAGTGGCCCACAACAAAAAGTATGTTGATATGGCTTTGATGGTGATTTATTCCGTTTACTTTTTGATTTCTTTGGGGACCCTGGCAAAAAAGGTAAAGAAACCTGGGATCATTGTCGCACAGATCTGGGCAGCTTTGGGGAGCACTTTAAAAGAGACCGCTACAACCAACAAAAGTTGGTGATTTCACATCTAAAAACACTTAGTCTCTAAGTATCTAAGAAGAAATATATGATGTCCATATTTACATCTACATCTATAATCATCTTGGAGTAGATAGAATATGAGCTGTTCAAAAATCACCAGCAAAATTAGAATATTATTTTTCATATTCTACTTCAGGACTACTATATACAGTATATACATATTATACATTGGAAATCTATGGTTAACACTGCCTAACATCTATCTTTCATAACGGTTTCTACCTCCAAAATGGATCAGCGCCAGGCGAAGCTCAATCAGCGCCTGGACCGTGAAGCTGCCTTTCGCGCCGCGAAGGCGGAGGCAACGCATGGCAACGCGGCAACGGACGGGATTTGGTGTCCTTGGGATTTGGAGTTTGACAGTGCTTAGAAATGAGGATCCGATGAGGATCCGATGAGGATTGACGGTGATTGATGATGATTGATGGTTTTTGAGTTGTGAAGAATACAGTATTTTTTTAAATGTAATCATGGTTTCATATGGTTATTACTGTACTGTTACTGTACCAGCTTGTGGCTATATCGTCCTAGGATCATCCGACCCAAGGACCCATTGTAGTTCGAGATGATTTACCTATTTCAATGATGATTGTTGATGATTTTGCATAGCAACCCGTTGGCTAACCTCAGGGTACATTCACAACAACAAGAGTTGTTCATGTTCTCATCATGTTCTGTATCATAAATCCGAGTTATAGGAGTTATGTTCACCACCTTAGCTAACTATGGGGCACCACCTTGTACTCATTCTCATCCTTTTCTGTTGTCGTTTTGAAGGTGCTACAGACGGCAGAGCCGGGCCTCATTGAAACGGAGGAGGCGGAGGATACCACCAGGCAGAAAACCATGGGAAAACCGGGGAAAACCGGGGAAAGTTGTTTTTTTTTCACCAGGAAATGTGGTTTTCAACCATCAAACTTGTGGTTTTTCCACATGTTTAGAAATTTGAAAATTTGGTGATTTCACTGGAGATCATGGGGGATGCGCCAAGTTGTGTAGTTTTTAGCAATATATATATATATAGATATGGGTATGTCAAAGTAGGAGAAAGGGTATTTGACCATGGTGTTTTCATCCGGAAATGAGAAATGTTACAACATAGATGCAGGGATTTTTCAATAGGTTTAAAAAAGAACTTGCGTTTCGCTGAGAAAGTTTGAATTTGGTCTTTCAGAAATTGGAATCCACACAAGAAATTAGTGGTTGTGATGCAGCAGACACACGAATTTTACTGGAAACATGAAGATGTGGGGGTTTCCTAAAATGGTGGTATCTCCAGTCATCATCAATTTTCATGGGATTTTCTATATTTTTCTATGAGAAAAACCATCCAGCGTGCTATTTTTGGGTATCCCCATTGAAGGAAACCTCGATGTATGTAACTGGAAAGCTGGAAAATCACGGGGATGTGCGGCATAAAGACGAGTGAGAATATGTTCAACGATTCCAACGATCCAAAATCCGCGAGATCTTCATTTTGGATACGGATATTGCAAAGAAGTGGTGTTTTGAAAGCCGAAACACGCCCTATTTTTTTTTTGGGAGAACATTGGGGCATCACGAAGGATAAGTTGGGCATGTACTGAACCAAACAGTGCGGAGATCACCGAGAAATAATCCCATGCCCCGATGATATAAAATTGACATTGGTCATATAGGTATAGTTATAGGACCACCCCAAAGATCGGTGACTTCCCAACATATAGGTACATATATATAATATAATATATATATAGTTATATATATAATATATATATATAATAGTTGTATAAATATAATATATATTATATATATACACATGATATGTAGATGATATAGGTAGTTCAGCTTCGCCTTGTTTCCCAATGCGGTTGTTGGTCGATTCAGATTTGCCCAGGCTGACGCAGAAGGACATCCTGGATTCAGTCGGGACCTGAACGTGGGGATGGATCAAGATTGGGGCGGTATATCTTGGCGTATAGCTATGTATGATATTGTATCTATCTATCCATCCATCCATCCATCTATCTATCTATCTATATATATACATACATATTATGACATTATGAAATATCAGTATGTCATAGACTGATATATAGCTATACCTTGGCGTTATGATATTATAGTCATTGACTGGATATGTATATGTATATATATATATACATGTATATGCTTATGCTTATTTATATGAATACATTTACACAGAAGATGGACAGGTTCATAATTCATACTAAACGGACCAACATAAGTGATTCCCAGGGCTTTTGAAAACTGGGGCCAAATTCTGAGGGGGTGTAAACACAAGGTAGGGAAGCAGCCGCGGATGATTTTTGGATCCAACTGAGAGCCGATTTCTAATTTGACCAAATCTTTGGGGATCCAACTGAACTTTTTGAAGCGTACCTGACCTTTTTGAACCGTACCTCGCTGCCAAGTCGTCACAAACCCTGCATCCCAAGGCTGGTGTGGGAGTGGCCCGCAAGTACTTCTCCTTTGATTTGCCCTACGGTCCCTACAACTGTGACTGGGAGGAACTGGTTTTTGAGGATGGAGAGGATGGAGATACCGAAGGGGATCAGCGTTGATCAGCAGATTTTTCGCTACATGGATGGTTTTTATAGCTAAACATGGTCACATTTTAGCATGAGAAATGCTGTTTCTTTATAGCTAAAAACAGCGACTTCAGCCATTTCTTCAATGGGAATTCCAGGATCCTAAAATAGAGGTACTGTACCATATAAGGCCATATTTTGGGGAAAATCCCTTTACATAGGCCTTACATAGGCCTTATATATGGTAGGTACCTCCAATTTAGGTTCCTGAAATGGCCATTGATTTCTCATGTGCTGTTTTTTTTTTTTTTATATGGTAAGATCATCGATTCGCAGCGGTTACAACTTCGTCACAAAGCGACTCGAAAGGTGATCATCTGGGGGTTTCCTTGTATGGGGATACCCCAAAAACGCTGGATGGTTTTTCGGATAGAAAATGCCACTAAAATGGATGATGACTGGGGATACCATCATTTTAGGGATCCCCCACATCTATATCATCTATAAATGAATGATTGGATGATGACTGGGGGGTAGCCCTATGACTTCAGAAACCTCCATTTGTATCATGGAGATATTTCATGGGAATATCATTGCATCAGGTATACGTATATAATATGGGACCTATAACGTAAAAAAAAAACATATATCACAATTTAGGCACCAGGCGAAGCCTAAAGCCCTTTCCAGTCTGTCCATTCCCTTTCTTGAGGTGGAGACGTTGTTTTTTTTATTGGCAATTGTCGTAATCCAGAACAATTTGTTTTTTTTCCAGGCCAACCAAAGCAAAACCCACGTCTCCGCATGAAGTGCCAGTTCACATTCATCTCACCATCATTGCTACTTAATGTCCCAATAGCTTTAAGTTCTCTTACTTGGCTTCACTGAGTGGTAAGTGCGTCAGAGACGTCCCCGGGGACCTCCCGAATTCCTCCCATTTCCACAACAACTGAGGTAGTCTGACCCGCAACGGCGCACACCTCCTGGTGGGTGGCAGAAAGGGCCATGTGGCGCCCTGGATTTCAGTAGCCATGGTGATTGATTAGCAACAAACAACCAGAAATTTCAAATCCTGAATTCGGGGCCAAGACCTTGAATTCAGGATTTGTGTTTGTTCAACCAAAATTCGTGATTTGCTCAAATTGGTTAAACCATCCTGAAGCAACAGAACTGGCGATTTTTGGTTCCAAAGTCAACCGGGGATACAAAGAGGTGAACTGAGCACAAATCGTTTGGGGATTTTCCGGTTGTTCCAAGCAAAAGGACTATCCACATTTTTGAGTTCAGGTTGCGGCTGGGGACTGACAATTTCAAACTGGGATCACTGAGGCATTTATGCACTTGGAGCGGAACTCAGGGCTCAGCTGAGCTCGGACATTGGTAGCGGATGTTCGAATCAACTGGGTGCAGCTGGTTTTTTGGTTTTTCCATCCACAAGTGGACAAATATGGGGACATGTAACATCCTGCAACCTAAAATCATCCAAAATCCTGAGAAATCTTCGTTTTGCGATTTCAGATTTCAGAGGTCAGACTCCATGTCGCCATTTGTATCTTGGCTCCAGCTTGTATCTTGGCCCCGATCGAAGGTCGCTTTTGGAAACTCCCAAAATCCACAACCCAAATATGTCCAGTCGATTCCAAAAAACTCAAAAACCAACAGATCTCCAACGCAAAATCAGAATCCACCAATCCAAAGCTAATAATCCCCCACAAATCAACTGCATCTACAGTGATTTTTCCGCCTGATGCCAGCGGTGTTGCTTCCCAGACGAAGCTGAAAAGAAACTTCAACCTTAATGGTTCACCAAAAACCTACAAAAATTAGCAAAGATTCAGGTCCTGACAGTTTTTTTACCATGGCTTTTACCCATCAAAAATAGTGAATTGACCGGTGGATATCCACATGTTCACTGTATCTATCGATATTTTCGAAGTCCTACCAGGTCATGGTAGGGCGCCTGCCGAGTCGTACAACCGTTTAGCAACTCACCACTTTCTCCGAATGTTTGGAAGCACAGTGGCACAGTATTCATCAGTCAATATTTCCAAAGTCAGTGCATGGAAAATGCTGGAAATGCTGGTAACTGAAATCAGATTTGATCCACCACTGGTTATCTTGGTTCCCATAGTTCCCAAAAAGCCCAATTTGTTTGCCACGTCAGATCGCCATGTCGACGGGAAATCCTTATGGCCTCTCCGAGATTTCACACTATGGCACCTTGCTGGGACGTGCGTGGAATCACCAAGTAGCCAAGCTGGTTATGACTGTTACATGGCCATGGGAAATAGCCATGACCCATAGATCGATTTATAGATGGTAAAAACATGTAAAAACCGAACTTAGAAATGGTGGATCTGGCTTCCATGGCGAACTGTAACAAATAACCAGAGGGTATATTTTTGGCCATGGGCCATTTGTTGATCCCCAGGAACGCCCTCTATGATTCATGGATTCATGGACCATGGATGATTTAATCTGGTGAAATAGCGAAAAGTAGTTTGGTCGAAGACTGAAAAGGTACAATTGGAGTACTCCAAAAAGTATCTTCGATGATGATTTACCTATTGAAAATGATGATTCCAGTGGTACCATGGACGTCCCACCCCCAGGCTCCATGCGCAATGTGGGCGGCAAAGCAGGGGGCTTCATCAACAAGAAGTTCTTCCATCCATCGTCCCTGCGCAACCAGGCCGTGCCAGTGCCACAGATGTTTTTTTGTGCCGAACTATGCCATGTATTTTGGCGAATCTAAACGAAAGGTGGATCCATTTTTCTTGGATCCATTTTGGATCCATTATGAGTAAAAAAAAACAGGAAACGATATATCCCCAATTGCTGATAATGTTTCGAGACCCATCCGTACCAGCGCCACTCTCTTGCGCAGGAGAAGCTGTGGAAGGCCATCACTTCCGATGCCGCAGAGAAGCGGAAGCAAGATGATTTGGAGAAGGCATCGCAACATGAAGTTGGGGTGCCCTCCAAAAAAAGGACGCTGATGCATGATGGTAAAATGACACAAAAAGGGGAGTTTCACCAACAGAAATTGGAAAGTAAAGCAAGGAGAGTCGGGAATTTAAGCAGCAAAAACTGGGAATTGAAGCAAGAAAACTCAGAATTGAAGCAATTAAATGGTTTTACCAACATAGTTCTATTTCTTTAAACCAACAAAAGACGGATTACAATGGCGATATTTTTTCACCAATGGGGAGATCTGGGACTGACCCTGGAACATGGTGACGCAAGTATGGTGATTTTTCAATATTTAATTGCCTTCGGCAAGCCCGCCGGCCATAGGAGAGGTGGCCCCAAGGGAGTTTGATGTGCACTCTAGGTGGAAGCCCGCGAGAGAAGCAGAAGAGAGAAGACGGAGAAGAAGAAGAAGAAGAAGAAGAAGAAGAAAGGAAGACGAAGACAAAACCGTAAAACGGAAGCGGCTTGTGTAGCAAGTGCTGGCTGTAGCAACCTATTGATCGTATACCAAATTAGTAGCGCCCCCAGCAAAGTAGCGCCAGGTACTATGTATGAGCCTCTGGCTTGAGAGCAGAGCGCTGCATGGAAGGAGACCGGGTGGAAGCAGAGAGAGGTTGCCCCAGGGGAAGTTGATGCGCACGCTAGGTGGAAGCCTGAGAGAGAAGCAGAAGAGACGAGAATCAGAAGAGACGAGAATAGGAAAAGGGAAAGAAGAGGAAGAAGAAGAGACGAAGACAGAGCCGTAGAGCCGTAGAGCAGCTTGGTAGCAAGTGCCTGCTTGAACAACCTATGGACCGCATACCAAATGAGTACTGGTCGATCAGTCTAGTACCGTGTGCTTCCTGTGACGAGTACCTGTAGCTGACTGTAATGCTGTGGGCAGTGTCATTAGCTACCGGAGGAGGAGGAGTAGGAGGAGTAGGAGTAGGAGTAGTAGGAGTAGTCGAAGTAGTCGGAGTAGTAGGAGTAGTAACTACTGTAGTAGGAGTAGTAGGAGTAGTAGGAGTAGTAGTAGGAGTAGTAGGAGTAGTAGGAGTAGTAGTAGAAGTAGTAGGAGTAGTAGGAGTAGTAGTAGGTGGTAAGGGGGGTGGGCTTGATTCAGACGAAGCAAAAACGCGCAGCAAGAGAACAAAAGAACAAGTACAAGCCAAGAACAGGATTAAGAACAACACCTTCCAATCAGACACGCTGGCAGGCCGGCGGATTGTTTCATGAAAATCGGTGATTGAACGAACAAAAGCAAGCATTCATCCGCAAAATTTGGAGTTTCAAACCAGAAATGATGTGTAATGAGTATATATGATGTAGTCTGAAAAACGAGAGTTTCATCACATTTTATGGAGATCATCCATTCCTTCGATAGGTGTTGGGTAAACCGAGTGGCCACGTGGTAAACCCAATCAACCACCCATGTTTTGAAGTTTCTTACAAACAACACGGTAGGTAGTAAAATTGTGATGAGCCAAACCCCTCATTTTTCTCGGCAAATTACTGGCCGACCTTTAGGGTTTGTGAAGGTTGTACGTTTTCCAAGACGAATTGGGACAGATATGAGTAAACTATTTGGTGCATGAATAGTTGGTGAACCAACATTTTTTTGGTAGATAGGAAGACGTAAAAAACAATTGGCAGTTCAGAAGGTTTAAAATTAGACTAGACTAGTGGTGATACCACCAGTAAATGATGGGCAAAACCACAAGTGAAGGGTCACTTGTATGTGCTAAGCTGCTAAGCTATGTTGTTCTCAAGGGAGGAACATTGTATCCCACTACATGTGTTTGTGTTGCTGAGTATCTAAATTTAAAGTTAGCCATGGATGGATTATGAAACGCTTGATGATTTTTGTAGGAGGATCATGAGAATAACGAAAAACATGCATGTTGCATAAACTTACATAGATGTTATGTACATGTGTCAAACTGCCCGTGTAGCTATCAGTGTCACAGATATATAAACCAAAACGAATATAGTTGCAAATTCAGGAATTTCGAGGACGTTAGATGGCCGGCGTTTTTAGGTCCACTATATCAGTCGAGTTCGGAAAATCATCCCGGTGAAAACTGCCCGGGTAAGCCCAACTGGAAGCGAGGCAAGAGAAGAAGAGAGGAAAGTGGACGCCTTACGAAAGGACGCACCCAACCCTGATGGGCCAACCCTGATGGGCCAACCCTGATGGGCCATGGTTTCGTTTGATGGGTATATGGGTTATAGCACTGTAATCACAGCAATAGTTTGGTAATTAGGCCACATTTGAAAACGGTTTTTTAAAGCACGCCAATCCGGTCCGGTTTATCATCAGGTTTACTACCGGGGACCAACACTGGTGGAGTAATCGAGCCCCATCTCGTCCCTGAAAATGTCTTGGGAACGCGGTCAATCCCTTCCCCTAGTAGACTCTCCCGTAAGCGCCCCAAGTATGAATATATCATAATAGATCCAATGCATACATAGACAAACACAACCCAAATGGGGATTTATGGTTTTGGGTTTACCACACTATCCAATTTGCTGCATTATGTGATTCGAAAGACCTAGATAATGAGAACTACACATGTGGTGAGCCCAATAATGAACCATTTGGGATACCCTTCATACATGAACGGGGCATCCCGTTCGGAAAACCAATCAAAATCATGGAAATTTGGTGGGCGCATGTGGTAAACAAATTTGATTTCTTGCCAGGAGATGTACTTAGCTGGTCAGTCAAAGAGTGCAATGACACTTGGATTGATGCAGCCGTTGGCATCAGCGATAGAAATGGGACTGAACTTGATTGAACCAACTACCCAAAAAGACCATCATCTGGGAGTCCTTGACCTTCGACCCGTACCGGGTACGTACCGACTGGATGGTCTGGATGGCCAGAGCTGCAGCAGCATCTGTTACAGAACAAATCTTGATGGATTCAGGGGTGAAACTCGTGAAACTCTTCACATTTTGATCCAGTTCTGGCAGATGTTTGCATTCTTACACTAATCAAGAACAGAGTACTGCAAACCTTTCTGACGCATCAAATCTGCAGGCGTGCCGGTTTTCATGACCCTGATTCTGGATGCTGAACCCCTTACTTTATCCGTCCCACTTAGCAAATAGGTTATGTTCGTGGTGAACTAAGTGGGATCAGTAGGGCGAATCCGCTGGGGTGAACTTACTGATCTCAGGTTCACCGCAGCGAGCTCATCAGAAGGGAAGGAACGCGCCGGGAAAACTCAGCAAGAAAAATGGCGGACCTGGAGAGTGCCCCATGCTGAAAATGCTGTGAATATCACCACATGTATCACACAATCTGGATATGGGTATGGATCAATACCTATAAGTACCATTTTTAGTGGGATGAACATCCATTTACCAGCTATTTTGATGTTCACCAGGGGTACAAGGTTTTGACACACTGCCATATGTGATATGTGGAGATTTTCTGAAGTACCCCAAATCATCCAAGTTATGGATGACCGTTTGAGTATTGACACTCATGGTGACTTGGGGTACCCCCCATTATGGGAAACCTCTGTGTGTATATACATTATATATATATACAGTATATTTGTATACACACACACGCATAGATACACACAAACCCAGCTAGTGGGTGGTTTCAATGATTTTTCCCCCATGATGGTCCCTCGCTCCTGACTTTCCGAAACATGTAGTGGCTCAACCTCGAACCACGAATTTTTCACATCGCAAATGTCCAGATCTCTGATGGTTGAACCACCCCATTTTTTATCAGTTAAGCCAACAGCCAACATGTTCAGCCGCCAAACATCTTGGTGGAATCCTTGAATACCTCTGACAACATTTTTGTCAACAAACCATCGGGAGTGTTTGAAGCCGCACAGTTTCTAACACCAATTTTCAGTGGTTTCACACCACAACACCATCAACCCATTCGAAGCCAAAACATACTCAAATAGTTTTTTTTGGCTTAATTATTTTAAACACCATTATTTCATTAGGTTTCATCACCATCAACCCGTGGAAAAAAGACTGCTATTATTCGCGGCTTACTCTGGTCAGTAATAATAGCTGGCTGGAAAATCCCTCATTAATGTATATATATATATTTAGTTTTACTTCAATGATTTCATGATTTTTCCCATCAAAATGCCCATTGAGTTCCAGGTTTTGTCTTGTTAAGTTGGTGATATATCGAACTATCTATCGTACCATACGTATGATTCGTTTTTGATCGCCGTTTAGTCGATGTCCCCGGGATTTCCGAGCGCTTTCCCACAGGGCACCTTGGAACAGATCAAGGCGAACCGCGAGCTGAAACGCCGCAAGGAGCTCTTGAAGGACCGGAAAAGACGAGTGGGGGAGTGGGGCCTGGGGCCAGGCACTACTGGGGTTTGTCCACATGAATTAAACCACCTTAAATGGTGAATCTAAACCATGAATTCAGCCATCAAAAATAGGCATAGAAATTTGGTGGTCAAAACATGTCAAAACCATTCACCAAATCACAACAGATCAATCCCAAAGATACGACTCAAATGGTTTCGGCAACAACCATAGATATCACAGGATCATCCCACAGATCGTAAGTGGTTAACAAGCAGCCAGTCAGTTTATGTACAGATGGGATGACCTACTCATCGCGGACTTACGATTACCAGGGTTTTAGCAGCTTTAGCACTTACGATTCGCGAGATGCTCCTCCTCATATGGAATTAATCAGGAAAGATATGGGATCAACATTATTGACATGTAACAAAGACAGTGTATATAATTCCATATGATGGGGGTTACAGATGTGAATCCCCCGTAGAAATCAAAAACGGCGATTGAAAATCCACCAGAGGAGGCGAAAGAAGCCAAAGACGAGGCGAAAGAGGCGAAAGACGAGGTGGATCGACACTGTTGGTCCTTAAAGATACGCGGGGGGGGGGTTATGAAACCAAGATAAACCACCGATCTTATTGGGAATATACTGGGATTTAATGGAATTGAATGGGATTTATTGGGAATATACTGAGATACAATCAGATATCCAAGAATATGATATAGGTTTGTCTGAAAATGTTGAGAACAAATCAACTTTCCTATTGGTTTATCATCGTTTTCTCCATCAACATTGCCTCTTTTTGGGCCTTTGGTTTGCCACTTTCGGACCCGGGGTGACGGGTTGGGAAGGCCGGACCTAGGCTCCCAGACTGTTGGAAATCAGACACCGGATGAGTCAAGTTTCACCGAAAGAGTGGGAAAGAAGCAAAAAGTTATCCAACGATTTATCCAAGTCATCACGGTGATTATCCAACGATTTATCCAACGTTTTCCAGTTTTTAGAGGTGATTCTGAACTTGATCCAATCCAAGCAGATGATCTTATCCTCTTCCCACTACAAGGTTGATAAGGTTGATAAAATGGTTGATGCATAGAGGGGCAATCCTCCACTTTTTCACAACCAACAGTTAAATGATGATAAGCGGTATACTGTTCGTCACCGGCGCCTCTAAGACTCTATTTCTCAAGACTTTGGAGCCCTCCCAAAAAGTGCAATGAATGATCAGGGCTCCCATACATCAACCTTGCAACTTCACCATTCAAGAGTGGCATGGCAGAATTGATTTCTATCCAATCTAATATCCCATGAAATAAGCATTCTATCCCTACGGTATCGCCATGATCTCCCGAAGGGTTGGGCTGATATGTGGCATATCTGGATCAAGGGGGAGACCCAAGACATCCCAAGACCCCTAGCCGGCCACAAGGAGATAGAAATCTTAGAGGAGTACCTAGCCAGCCCTGACCCCAACGTCAAGCTGGAGGAGGATGCAGGCCATCTTTCGTGACGTCCGGCGGGCGATCCACCAATGGATGCCGAACAAGAGATCCATGGAATTTTGGTGTTTTTACTGTACCACCAGATTTGGGATTTGGAATGGAACATTGCAAAATTTCCCTGATACGGCGTCAATCGAAAATCTTCTCAACAAAAAAAAACAACTCTTGAGTCATCCTCCAGGGACCGGGACAAAAGAACAGCCAGGAACTTGCCCAAAAAAATTGGACGTGATGGGTATATGATATATGCCGTATATGCAACAGAATTCCTGAGATAGACACTGAATTCCAAATCTTAGCGATCCGAACGGTGATGCTCTCGACAGGTGAAGGGACCGCAGGGAGCGCAGCCAGCCGCACATTGGTGAAATCCAAGCTCCCTGGCAGAGAATGAGATTTATCTATGGTTATTTAACATAGCTATTGACAATAGCCATAGAAATAGTTGATATACCCATTAAACATGGTGATTTTCCATAGTTATGTAAACGTTTACCAGAGGGTATCTATGGTTATTTAAGCTACAGTAAGACTAATCATCATTTTTAATAAGGTACATTGATGGAATCATTCCCGCTGAGGTACATTAATATTATATATAATCAATATAGGTGAATCATCTATACCTGGGCCATTTTTCGTAGCTATCTTAAACTATCCCAGGGTACACGCAATCAGCCAAAACATGGCAATGAAATTATACATGTCAAAGCCGGGATCTTAAAAAAAACCTGGAGCCTGGTGGAATAACCAGAAGGGTCTCCCACCAAAAAGTATTTTTCAAAATGGCTGAAATGATGCTCCCCCAATTCAAACATGAGGCAATAAACGACTCCGGGCTTCACATCAAGAAATTGGGTCTCTATGGATGGCCTCCCTGTCAATGGATGTTCTCCATGATATCGTCCATGTCACGGCTCCATGCAGAAACCGTGCCGGTGGTTTTTCAACACCATTTCTGGTGATACCCTCTGGTAAACTAACATAGCTATGGAAAATCACAATTTTCAATGGGAAAATTCACTATAAATGGTCATTTTCAATAGCTATGTGAATGTTTACCAGAGGGTATAGCACCAAATCCTCCAATGAAAAAAAGTTGTTTTCCAGTTCTTTTGGGTGTTGAATCCTAGCCATCCTAGCCCAACTTGTGATCTCTGGTTTTTTTTAATGTTGCGCTAAAGGGGACATTCACGTAGTGGAAATCCATAGGTTTCACGCAAAAGTGATCTGCATTCATGGTGTGATTGGATGGATTTTTGTTAGAAAATCTACAGGATAGCCCTGTTTTCCAAGGTAAGAAACAAGGTCTCCGGTAGATTTTTCCTTGAACCAATCCACTGATGGTGGAGTATTTATGTGACACTTTACCCCAGGATAGCTTTGACACCGAACCTAGTAGACATCTGAGGTATCCCGAGGACTGGGCTGGCTTACGGATGGGGATTGCCATGGCTCAAACCAGATAATTTACCTATCAAAAAGGATGATTTCCATAGTTATGTAAATGTTTACCGAGGGTAAGTCGTGGAATACAGCACAAACTGCTCAAACTGGACTTTTTCATCATGAATTCACCAAGGTGTGTAGGTTTCCGCCATTTTCTGAGTATGCCCAAGCATTCCAGATGGGAGCATGAGAGACCCCTGCCGGCCCCAGAAATTTGGTGCTGCAGGTATTCTGGGTGAATATTTCCAGGAAATATTCGACATGTTCCATCGACTTTCCATTTTACCCAGAACATAGGGTCCCCCAAAGCGTTTCACAAGAATCATCGGGAGTCAGCCACCAGGTCAGTGAACCCCCACAACAGTGGTCAACGGCCCATGTGAACCACCCACGATCGGCTTGTCACGGTTCAGGACATCACCGTGCGCGGGCACTCGCAGATTTGGGGCTCCTGGTTCACCACGGACGAGCAGCGTGTCGTGGCGAGAATTTTGCTGTAGAAGATGAAAAAACGGGAGCAAATCACTTTTCTATCTTTTTTTGGGCGATAAAATCCACAACCAGAAACTGGTTTTGAAATGCATTCATCATGTGGACTCCATGAGTACCAGCAAACAACCAGATTTTTCCTCCATCATTCTCCGCCTTCATCCCATTGGATCTATGTGCTGCATCCAGAAGGATGGGATACCATGGGATACCTCATATTGCTATCGATTACCATTGATGTTAACAGTTAACATTTCCCCTATGTGGTTGTGGTTCAAAATTACCAACTTTTCATGGTTACGAAGCATGACCAATCTTGTACATTCGCGACTTGTCATGGGTTTCCCCAGAGGACCCGCGTAATGAACACGTGACGTATTTCCCTATATTATAGGTGAGACCCTGTCATAGCCCATTGTTTCTGATTAATTCCATATATTTTTCATTGTTTTCCCTATGAAAATTTCACAGGCATCCCGGCATCCCATTTTTTTGCTTAGTTTTCAATTTGCTTTGCTTTTCCCATCTTTTCCCCATGATTTTGTCCCTTCCCACGGCTTCCAGGCTGGGGTTTCGGCTGTTGCCACATCACGGACCTCCTTGCACGATGTCCTCACGGGCCGGAGGAGGAGGTGCGGGGCCTGCGGATGAGTTATTGTTTTAACGGGTTTATATGGTTGATATAACTATAGTTTTCATGGGGCTTTGAAACCAACTTATTATATATGAGCAACCGCAAAAACCCCGGCAATACTAAATATGTATTCGACGGACATTGGTTTATGGAAATTGATGGAAATTGTTAAAAACACGAGGCAAGCGATGGGACCTTCCCAAATTAGCGATACCCCTTTTCAAGGTTATGTCATCATATTTCTCTAATATCCACATTAGCGATACCCAAATATCACATATTATTCATAGTTCATCACACATATATATATATATAAATGCAGCAGTTTCCTGCAAGCGATACCCCCCAAGTTTACCATATATCATTATTGTACAAACGTGTGGTAAGCGATGGGACCTTCCCAAATTTGTGGATGTCCTTTCCGTGAACCTAGGGTTTTCACAATCGCTCATATAAACATAGAAAAACATATATATATATATATCTATATATATATATATATCTATATATAAATACATAAATAAGTACATGAATAAATAAATGAATGAAGAAATAAATGAATGAATAAATAAATTAAATAAATAAATAAATAAACATTTACGTACTTTACTAAGACCGATGATTTTGGTTCTCCCAGGGCACCCAGGTTTTAGCCCATGTCGTATTGCAAAACGAGAGTCGTGCGATCGGATCGGACATGGAAAACAGGTGGTCTTTGTGATCGATGAGGGCTGAAACATGTTGAATCCCCATTGGAACATCCCTTGTGCCATAGTTCGCCCTGGTTGATTCCCAAAAAATCTGACTGTGGAGCTAGAGTTTTCACGGGGCTTCAAAAGCAACTTTTATACAGTGGGAGTTGTAAACCTATGCATATTATTTGGGAATAACTTACCAATATGGCCATATCATGGGGGTAAGAACTGATACGTGTTATAATGAAATCAACACATGGAGAGATTTCATGGCAATCGTTTTCTCATCATGAAATCCCATGGGCTGTTCCTACCTGCTGAACAACCGACCGACCTTGGGGTGATCCAATCATCAAACATGGGTGGGTCCATTGGTACCCTCTGGTAAACTAACATAGCTATGGAAAATCACAATTTTTAATGGGAAAACTCACTATAAATGGCCATTAAATGGCCATTTTCAATTGCTATTTTGACATAACCAGAGGGTACCTGATTTACTTCGCCACACTTCGCCCAAATTTTGAACTTTTTACCCCCATGGGCTGGTTTTGACACTCAGAGTTTGTCAGAGACCCCCTAACATCCATGGGTTTTATCATCACTTCCCAATTGAAATTGCCATTTGATTTGGAGGCTTAATCTCCTATTTTCAGACCTTATCCGTTGGTTCAAAGATGTTTTTTTGCCAAGTGACCCGTTGGTGGACCGATGATCCCTTCTCCAGGAGCCCCCTTTGGAGAAACCCGCCAAAAAAAAGCGACGGCGCAATGAAAAAGCCGAGGCCAAATGCGAAATGTGACCATCAAATATTGGACCCTGAGGTATGGTGAGTCAGCCCAAGAAATATATTCTGACAGTCACATTATAATCCCATTGAATCACCATTAATCCACATTAATCCATTAATCCATACTATTTGCCAATCACCGTTTTAATTTGTGACCAATGGTGATCTCAGGCGATGGGCTAAAAACTTCGAGAATCCTCCTGGCTGTGGGATGTACATCGGGATATCTTTAAATCTATATATATATAATATTACAGTCTTACATATCTATGTATTTATTGTATATCTGCATATATATATATGATAATAAACATATATATATATATATGATATGTATATATATATGATATGTATATATATATGATATATAATATATGATATATATATAATGTGTATATATACAGTATAATGTATATACATATATATATATATATGAAATAGTATATATATATGATACAATATATATACCTGCACCATCGAATGTAGTTCCTTTTGATCCATGATCAAGTTTTCTTGGCCTTGACAAGTTTTTTTTGTCCAAGCCAACTTTTTTTGTCGGACCAAGAATACTTGTTCGCAAGAACAGAAATCTTGAAAACTCCCTTTTCCAACCGCCTGCCTCACATAGTGATCAAGCACGGCCGCCGCTGGATCGGCTTCTCCCGTTGGTGGATGATGTCGGGTGCCCAATTCTGGGTCTATTTCGCTGAAGGTATTATGGGCTGCAAAAATCATAAAGATAGATCTTAATAGAATCAGGGGACCTATGGATGCTCCATATCAAAATGATTCTGTACGCTATTTGGCTTACAAGGGATTAGATAGACTGCCTTCTAGGTGACGCAATGGTGAAGCGTTCACTTTCAAGTAGTTCAGAGAAAAGTATGCGTGACCACTTTGCTTGGGGCATTCCTGGTGAGCTCGCAAAGCTTCCTACGGCTGCCATTGAGTCTATCAAGACACTTTACTATGTTCCTTTGGCTATATGTTACCGCCATCAAGTATATATATGTTTTGATGTTTTTTGTTTTTCTTCCCTGTTTGCCACTGTTTCCCCCTGATGTTTTACCTGATTTCCCTTCACCATATCAATTTAAGTTTGCTTCGCTTCTCAATTAGCCCGAGGCTATCAGAGATGACTGTGATTTGAAAATGAGAGCAACCTCGTTCAAGTCAATCTTTACGTGGCCCGCAGAAGAAGGAGCTATCAATGAAAGCAGTGTCAGGGCAAACTACCAGGTGATCAAGCATGTGCCAAAGCCATTTGGTTTGTGGAGTGATATCATCCTGGTTCCCCATGGCAAGTGGGTGATAGAAGCTGTTGCTGACTGCTGGGAGGTGGGTCGTTGGATTGGTGGGGTCTCTGGTGGGATTGGTTGTACTTTGGGAATGTGCTAATATAGTAAACCTCCCTCGTCTTTATACACCTTCTAACCTGCATCTCCTAGCCCGCCCCTTCAGGTGCCTATCAAGAGCAAGGCTGATGCATGGTCTTTGAGAAAGATGACTAACCATGTGAGGAGGCTCCGGTCCAGGTCTGGGAAACAAAGGCATGGTGAGTTACAGGACCTTGCGGAGCCTTTGTTACATTAAAAAAGTATCTTTCTGAGAAATGTTTTGGTGATTCTTAGTGGTGTTTTTGGAAAACATGAAAGATAAGAACTATGTTTTTTGTTCCCTTACCGCCCCCAATCAATGAGGATGCTTTTAAAGCTCATGCGCCCCGCGTTGATGGACCTGCTCCAGCTGTGGCGGGGCCCCCTGAACGTGATGATGATGATGCCCACGCTGACGAGCCGCCCTTGCCAGTATCTCCTCCAAGCCCAGCCTCCCCACTGCCCAGCCCACAGCACGGCCCATCCCCACCGCCCAACCCACAGCATGACCCATCCCCACCACCCAGCCCACAGCACGGCCCATCCCCACCTCCCACCCCACAGCACAGCCCATCCCCACCACCCAGCCCCAAGTTTAGCTTTGCGGATGGCCAGCGCCCCTCATGCCCACAAGCTACATGGGACCCTGAAGTTGATAATAGCCAAAGAATGCCTGGTTTGACCCCTGAAAATGAAGCTTGGTTGGCACACCAAAAGTCTTTGAAAAGTGCTGCTTGTACCTCGGTCTCTGATGATGCCTCGGTTCCCTCAACAGCTGTGGATTCCCCTTTGGATCCCAAAGCCGCTTCGAATGACAACATGGTTTGCATTTCTGATGAAGATGAACCTGTTCTTCCCCCCAGAGACCTTGCCAATGCTTTAGATTCTGCGGCTAGGAAGGAAGAGTCTACAGGCCTGATGCAAAAACAAAATATGGTTTTGGGGTTGTTTATTTATGTTTATTTTCCACATTGAGCCCCAAGAGTACGGAGAAGGGGACAGTTCCACGTTTTGAAATTTGATTGTTTGAAGTTTTGATGAGTCCAGGGCATCAAAGACATGAAAAAAAACATATGAAATAAGTACATCATGAGAAACACATGAACTGGTGTCAGATAGCTAGGCACCCCTTGCTTGCCGCAGGTTCTGTCCAGGACACGGGTGTGGACATGGATGAACTCGGGTCTCTACACGAGAAATTTGCGCTGATGAAGGCCAAGATCAAGGCCAAAGTTGGGAAATCGTCAACACATGTGGATGCTCTCCAGACCTTACCTCTTTTTCCTGAGGTTGTTGATGTTCCCAGCCTGCACCCAGAAATACCCAACATGCACCCATGATTACCCAATGTGCCATGACTATATGAAAAGACTTACAAATTCTTACAATGTGCCATGACTATATGTGTGTGTTGAAGAAGGTGGCAAGGGTGATAAAATTCTTACAATCTTGAACATCACACAAACATGAATAACAGTTTGTTCTTGTTTTGGTTCTGTCTTTGCATTAAGGAGGTTGCCGCCCGATATGCTGAGCCCAGAGGATCAGACTTGGAGGCAGGAATCATCAAGCGCCATGTGTAGGTTGATGGGATTGACATTAGTGCTCATGGATCTTTACTATAGACTTACTGCCCTTTATTGACATTGTTAGTTTGTTAAACATGTTTATGGGGGCATATTGCATCTTTCTGCCGCCTGCAGGCAGCAGTGGAAGATTCTGGCATCAAACCTTCCTCCGGCGAGTTGCCAGTCCCACGTGGTGCTGGAATGAAACTTGCAGTGTGTTATGTATGCATGTGTGCCCAAATGTGCCCAACATATGCCTATAACATTCTATAGCATATGATGTGCTTGCCAACTTTTCACCATGTATGGGGTGGTGGTTATAGGATGTTATAGCATGCGGTTACTATTTTTTTCAGCTAAGGATTGGGCTGTCAGACCCATTAGAGGCACTTCCGAATGAAGAACGAGCACTCACCAGAAAGGATCAGAGGGATCTTCGTGCATCAAAGGGCCGCGGGAAAGGAAGGGGTCGGGGTCGGGGAAAGAAAGAACCTGAAGTTGAGGATTTGCCTGACCCCGCTGATGATGTTACCCTCCCAAGCAATCCTTGTCCTGATGCAAAGCAGGCCCCCAGCCATGTTGTTGACACTGACCAGCATGAATCCCAGCCGAACACTGAGCAGAAGCATGAACCCAAGCCTGCAAAGAACAGAAGGGGGAAATCGAGAGCAAATGCTGAACCTTCCAGTGGATCGGCCGTTGCAGTTCCAAAGGTAAAGGGAAAGGCCAAGCCCAAAACAAAGGCAAAGGCGAAGGCAAAGTCTGCAGGGAGGAAGCGAAGGGCCCCAGCCACCCAGCCCGAACCCAAGCGTAAGCAGCGCAGGCCTGCATGTGATGCCCCTACCCCCATCCCAGTGGAGAAGCGAAGTGAGTTCAAACAGTTTCTTAGTTTTTAGGAATTGGTACTGCATGGTTTTTGTTTGTGTTCTTCCCATTTTGTTTCAATCCCATTGGCAAACCTTCCAAATCTTAATACTTGTTTGCTGTATAATTTGATGGCAGGGATAAGGAATTTCAAATATTTTATGTGACTCTCCGGCAGCTCAGGTTGCTCGGTGTCTTTGCTGACTACCGCTTGGAGGTCTATTGGACAAAGGGAACCTGTGGCCTCCGAACTTTGGCTTACAAATATTGGTGCAAATTAGCAAGTATTTAACACACACACAAACACATATTATTTTATATGAGTGTCAACTATATTACAACCAACGATGATCAAACACACATCAACAGATGATTCCTTGGCATTTTGGTTATGCAATCTGAAAAATTGCAGTCCATGTTGGATTGGATTATGGTGATTCTTTGGCGGAGCCGCCGCCCAAAAGAATATTCTACACCATCCACTCATCCGATCTATCCCTCGCCCATCTGCAGGAAGGAAGGCTGACGAGAAGCACATGTGGCTCGCGAGCGAGGGTCAGAATTCTGGTGGCATGAGCACCAACATTAAGATTTGCAATCATGTTGTTGCCTGTCCAAACATTAAGATGGTTCAAGGGTCTTTGGAATGTTGTGAACATCAACTGTTTTGTTTTTCAAATATAATACTTTGTTCAACAGTTGGTTTCAACCAATTCCACAGCTCCTTTGTTTCAACACCACCAGGATTCTTTGAGCAGTACTGCCACTGCTACCGCCCTAGCCAAGGCTAAGTACTTCACGGACCATCCAGGGACTGAAAAACATTCACCTGAGCTGGCCGCGGCAGTTGAAGTTTTGCTCAAAGAGCTTTGTGGGTAGAGCATGGTCGGTCATAGGCTTGGGAGTGGCCAAGGAACCAGTCAATTTAACAATTGGTTGTCATTATCCATTTGGGTTCAATATTAAATTATATAAGATATATGGTCTCATAAGTCTGTCCCCTTCAAACTCAAAACATGGCTTTGGGGTGCATAATTTCAGCTATTTCTTGTACCCTGGGTGGCCATCATATATATCCCAGCAGGAGTGACCATGTAAGATTCGGTGGCGCAAGTCGCTGGGGAGTGCGACGCTAGCGCACATGGAAACCAATTGAAATGATTGATCCTTGTGGTATTAACTGCAGGGCTGACACATGAGATGTGCTCACAGCTGAATCGTGGCTAGTTGACCGAAGCTTTGTCGATCCCGGCCAAAAAAATGGAGGTGTTTGCTTTGTAAGACCCCTTCAATGACAAGTGCCAATCAACCTTCAAGTCCTTCAACCTCCCAGACCCCAGGGTTAGCTGTCCACTTCTCACTTCTCACTGTTGGCCTGGCTGAGGTCCTTGCATGCCACGTGGCTCTTCCAATCTTCAAAGATACCTTGGGTCCACCAGCGGTTGCGCTGACATGTTTGCTGCGTGAGCATGGGGTGTGGGTCCGTCACGGGGACAAATTTTATGATTTGGAATTTGGAAACCAATATCAATTGAAATATAGATCTGGCTCCCAGCTGACCCGTGGCTAGCAAAACTCGAAGCCATGCAAGCTTGGGGCATTGAACAGCTGGTTCTTGCATTGTATGTGGCCAGGGTGCCAAAGGCAGGGTTTGGACAAATTGCTATTTCCAACAAATTAACAAAGCTTGAGGGGGAGTACGATGGCCCATCTTGTTTCTCAACAACCATAATGGGTGTATATATATAATTCATGGGGGCTCAGGGATTGGAATGATGGTTCAGGCTGTGGCAATTTGCTTACTTCTATTGATGTGGAGTGTCAACTTGAATGTGTCACGAGCACCTTGGCCTATAACCCCAGTATACAATCATTATAATATAAACGTCATAAATATTGGGTTATATTGGGTCTCCCCGCTTAGGGATCCTTTGTGGGCATCGTATTTATTTAAACAAATATGTTGGGATGATGGTATCGTAAATGTTTAAGCTGATTGGCTGATCCGGGATATTGTCAAATATATAATAGTGTTAGCCCTGTGCTTCCACTGGCCCAAGGAATGGCGATTCATGGAAGTATTCGCTGGAGAAGCACAGGTCACATCGGAGCTACGGTTGGCTTCCTACATGGGTGTCAGCCTCGACATCGTCTATGGTGGGAGGGCCATGGACCTTTTGACCCCTCCCGGCATGGCGTTTCCTAGTTGGATTTAGACAACTTTTACATCCAATACGATATAGGTGTGTCCCAGAATTGGGGATCTTGAAAATAAATCCCATTCATTTAGAATTATACCTGTGGGGATCCCTAACTGGCATCCATTTTTGAGACATGTTCATCAATTGAATCAATGGACCTTAATCACTTCCCCAATATGTTTCATGCAATAACCCCTCACGAATATTGGTGCCTTATATGTGGGGTTCAATATTGGGGATGTCTCTACATGAGATGCCCTTTTTTTCCATTTAAAGCATACTTTTAAGAGCTAAAAAAGGGCACAACATGTGGAGACACACCCTTATTTAGGGGAAAATAATCCTTTATCCTTTACGGTATTTGTGGTGTCAACCAATTAGGTTGGCGTTGCTCACCACCTTGAAGCTTGAACCAAATTCAATAGGAGTGCTTGCTCCAGTATGCAGCTCAATGGGCTTTCTAGCTTCGTCCTTGACGCAACGAAGCTTTACACTGCCTTTGGGGGACATACGCAAGATTCCAGTGGCCCAGGGAAATTTGTTGGCATGCAGGTACCTTGATAGCAACCATCAATTTTCAAATTGTTTGATATCCACCCCCAAAAAAACATAGGAGGTTCCCAATTTAACCCAGGTCAACTATAATAGGAGGTTCCCAATCCAACCCAGGTCAATTATACTGTGTTGGGTGCTGGTGGCCTTAGGGCATTGCTTTCTTTTGGAGCAACCAAAGGGATCTCACTTCCGGTCATTTCCACATTGGCGGTTCTTTTGCAAATACATTTGCAAAGCCACTTGGTTGTATAGGCTTAGAAAACATTTTGGTATATTTATGGTTTTCATGCTACTGTTATTTTGGGAATCCATTATTATAGTATAAATTATCCATTGTGCCCATTCTGCCTCGTGCGAGGTCTTTCGCCAGGGCGTGTGGATGAGGCATTGGGGCGCAGACTCTTCAAAGCCAACACTGTTATGGAGCAACAGTGTGTCGGTCCAGGAGCTTAGCCTTGGCCAGCTGACAAAGGACGGTGTGGCTTTTGCGTAGGAAAGAGCTGGGGCCATATAGATAAAACAGTAACCAGTGAATTTACCGGATTCTCCCAGATATGGTTTTGGGAAACCATTATTTTTTAAATCTGTATAGATTGAAACTGTGATAACATTTTGTTGTCAACAAAATGTTCAAATTGCAGGAACAGAGGAAGGGATCTGTACCGTTGGCGAAACAATATACCGATTCAAGTGGCAAAAAACGGTGCCATGGTGTGAAGAGAAGGTTAAAACGGTCGCAGCCCCTCACCTGCACATTGCAATTTTCCCATTTTACACCTGTCCAGCAAGAAATAATTTTGGGGCCATGAGTGAGATCTGGTTTAGGATCAATTTTGGGCCATAGCTAAGGGTTTACACCAAGCCCTTTGCACGGCGTGTGGCTTCTATATTTCCTCGTTTCCGTGCTGGTGTTGCCCCATTGCGGAACCCTCAGGACTGGTAAACCTTGCCAATGTTTTTCAAAACCAAAAACAATATAATTTTTCCAGAAACAAGGATGTCATGTTGGGCCTGACCCTAAAGGACTCTGGGGGTGCTTCTACCCCAGCCTTGGTGAAATCCCTGGTGAACCCGAAGCTTTGGGAAGATGCCAAAATGGATGAAGTTGTCAACTATTTAGCGCAAAGTAAATTCGTGCAGCTGCCAGAAGTCTTTGCCGATGCTTTTTCATAGGTGGTTGAGATGCCACTTTGTTAGATGTCGAAGCTTTTTCAGGCTTCCATGCCAAATTAGTGTAAACTGAGACTCCAGCTGTCCATGCTGTGTTGGGTACCAACATCGCAAGAACCTTGGATCTGGGATGGAGTGGGAAAAAAGAAAAGTGGGACAACTTCAACACCAGGATTGTAAGAATGGACTGGGATAGACCCCAGAAGGTATAAAGGGGATGGCTTGTAAACCTTTTTTGATTGACATGTAGTCTCTAAATCACCAATGGGGGAGATATAGTCACATTTTTTGACTTTCTTGCGCAAGATTCTGAAAACCTCAAAATGTCCCCAAAAATGGCCGCGCAAGAACGCGCAAGAAGGCCAAGAAACCGCGCAAGAAAGCCAAAAAACCGCGCAAGAACGCGCAAGAACGCGCAAGAACGCGCAAGAATTTTTTGGGTCAAACAAGTGTCAAAAATTGACACGTAACCCTAGTTTCAACCATGATCCAACAACATTTCATGAGAAATTGCATGGATACATATCTGATGAGGTCCCAATGAACAGTCACAACAAATATGTCCTGGATAATTCATGATGTTTGGGTGAACATGTGTATTTCCTGGGTGTTTCCTACAAACAAAGGGAAATTGATTTCAAACGGTTACCTGTTGGGATACAACTCTTGTAGGTTTCTATATTCCACAGGGTCCACGGTGCCAAACAAGGGTTCCCTTGTCACTACAGGTCCCACTATTGTATATTATATCAAATTTGTCTGATACATACCAAAGGTACAGCAATCTTGACATAAAAAAAAACTTATACTGTTATTATACCACAATTCTCCATCCACATATGTCCACGCAATCGCAGTTAAATTAATTTGATGATAAATATCAATCCTACTATACTCATCAAATAGCAATTGAACAATGCAAAAGCACCGGTGCACATCCAATATCTATACTGTCCATTGGATATAATGTTTTGATGGTCCATTGTCAACTTTGGATGGTTGAAATCCATACCATCTGGTAGTCAAATGCGGCAATGGCAAAGTTTCTCGTACATATGATGTCGTTCCCCAAAACCTGAAATGTTCTTGCATGTATATATTGTTTTTTTTCACTTACCATGTTTGGTTACAAGAAGGCGTCTTCCATGATGATGATGTAATGGGAATTTGTATGGATTATTAATAACCATTGTGATTGAACCACAAAAAAAACAATTTAAATTTCAGTGCATATAAATGGTTATGTGGCAATATGATGGGGGTATACTGGGGTGTCCAAGGTTGTTTCTGGTATCTCTTCCACACAGGTTTTTTTGAACATAATATGACATATATTTTACACTCTGGTATACCTGCCTTTCAGGGAAGAAACGGTATATGATCGAAAATGAAGGTGTGAAAGTAAAATACCAGCTAACACAACTTCATCTTTATTTATGACCATTTGGTACTGGCAGCCCTTTGTTGAACATTGCAACCCACAAAAAAAACACAAACATTTGGTATTTTATTTCTTTATTTTGGAGGCCACCATGGGATCACCGTATCTTAAATTATAAACGATTTTATGTGTTTCCAAAAATCTGCGATGCCTCACACTGCCAGGTTCCACTCCGGCATCATCTGGGGGCTGCTCTTTGAATGGTGCGCCCTCTTTCACCCTGCGGTCGCTCCCGGGCTTCAGGAAGTAGAGGATAGATGATATATTAACATAAATAAACTGGTATTGGAGATCAAAGGGCAGTTTTCTCACCAATCAAAATCGAATAACATTATATTGAACACTTTCAATTTTGAACAAGTTTCCATCCATGTTTCGAAGGGTGAACTACTTATTGCCCCCGCAGCAATTTGGAACCACATGGGTTAGGATGGACCTATGACGGAACGGTTGCGCTCGTCAGCCTCTTTAGGGGATGGCATGTCGCGGCTGCGCGGGCAGCAGCAGCCGACTACACCCACTCGTGTCAGTGCAGATTCTTGTCTTAAATGCGATGTGACATGCAGGGCTGTTTGTATGATTTTGTACGCTTTAAGTGCCCGATAGCATGTGATTTCCTAATCACTTTGAAATCACATGTCCCTTTGCCTAGGTGAAACCTGAATGCATCGATGATGATGTTGGGGTTTTTTCCCCGGAGACCCGGGCTTTGATCAAGGGTCTTGGTGACAGTCCAGAGTCTTTGCAACTCAAAGCGGAAATTCTCAATGCAGCTAATGGGCTTAGACGAGGACACAACCTGGTTTTTATAGTTATGTTGCATATGCCATGGATGTTGACACTGTTTTTCAAATGCTTACTATGAAATCATAGCCACATAGGTTGGTCAAGTGCATTTGATAGCGGGGCACCCTGTCAGGATACTCTAGTGGTTCAGCTGGTGGACCATCTCTAGGTGATGATGAAACCAGAGAGTCACTTCCACCACCTGCTTCCCCAAAAAGCACGTTGCCGCCCAGCTCTCCCCAAGCACGTCCGCCTTTGCATCGAACTGAGCCGCTTCCGAAGCCAGAGTCTTTGCCGCCGATGCCTGAGATGGAGATGGCCGACATGGAGGCACAGTTCAAGGCCCGCATGGACGCCCATGCCAAAGCTTTGGAAAAGGCTTTGAGTGATGAGTTTCTGGAAAAAAACGAAAGGCTGAGCAGGAACTAGAGGTGGAAATAGAGTTGAAACGTGAAAAACGCATGAGAGAACTGGAAGAAGAAATCAAAGAGGAGGTGGATGCAAAGCAAGCCAAGCTAGCCAGTTTGGATGCTCAGTTGTCAGAACGGATGTTTCTGGTTAGTGAGGAACAGACCCTGTTGGATGATCTCAAACAAAAAGCACATGAAATGCAGTGTAAGTTGGATGAGGAGTCCCGCAAGTCCATGAATGCCATGGGTCGTGAGCCCCCGACGCATGCTGTCTTTCCAGTCCCATGTACCAGGGTCTCAGACCCCAAAAGTGCCATGAAAGAGAAACTCAGGGAGAAACTTGAAGAAACTCAGAAAAAGAATCAGGTGGGGATGAAGGATGTTTCCCAATCAACCCCTTCACCAACGGGGAGTGCTCCTGCCCATACCCCTTCACCGTCGACCGTGGCAAGTCCCCCGGATGGCGTGATTGTGCCAGTGACTGATATGCGATTTTCATCGTCTACTCACCCAGCTGCTTGGCAATTTCTCTATCGGTTGACGAGAAGGGAGGATCAGTGCGACAAAACAATCTATGACGCATGGCATGCAGGTGCGGTTTTTGTTGATCAAATAGTCTTTGAATCTTTGATTCCAAGTCATACCAAATCATGAAGCTGATAAAGAAACAATAAGTTTGGCAAACTGCCATTTCCTGTTGAATAGGTGGTGCAAAACGAGATCATCTTCTTCGAGATTTTGTCTGCAGATGCTACACCCCAACTGATGACTTTGCCAAGAACAAGGCGATGGTATATATATATATATTATACTTGTAAATCGTATATTATACTCAATAAAATCATTATAATGGTATAGAGTCTTAAAATATAGCTTATGTCTTGTAGGTGTCCCAAAAAGGTTTCAACCCTCACAGCCCCACTGTGCTGATGCCAGGCCAAGTTGCAAGCGCTGGTGACTTTGCGCAACAGTGCCAGGTCCTGGCGCCGCAATTTGCAGGGGTACTCGTGGCACACTGAAGAAGAGCTGAAGAGCACACTGGGTTGGGCAGAGCTACTTGTCCGTCACTGTTGAATCTTATTTCATAAATTTGCCATTGCAACTTGAACCCGGACATTTTGATGCAATTGATTGAGAATATATTGGTAGCCAACATTTAGCCATGAACCATGCAATGACCCAACCTGTAGCTGAGGGCAAAAATCGAAGGGGCGGTGAAGTATTGCACCAAAAGGAAGATGACAAAGACTGCCATTTTGAATTTCTATACACATGTCATCTTGTGCAATTCTATGGTCATTTGAACTTACATCTTGACACTTTCTTTACATTGTGCCAAAGTTTCTTTACATTCCTCCGGCAGGAAATGCCTCTATGACGACAAGGCTGTGAAGTACCTTGTCATGGTTCGAGACGATGTGGAGGCTGGTGACGAGAAGCTGAAGGAGTTGGAGCAGGAGATGAAGGACTGGGGTCTGTTTGATACAGATTTTTGCCTTGGGGACGTCTTCGAGGACGAGGAAGACACCCCAGGCAATAGTGACTCCAAACCAAAAAAACGTATCGGAGACTGGCCGTCCGTAGAGGGCGAAGAGAGTGTCGTGGAATACGTTGGAGCCTACAAAAAAGCATGCCTTTCAAAGAAGGCCCTCATAAAGAACACCAAAGACAGGTTAGAGAGGGACCAAAGCAAGGGTCACGAGATTCTTATCTGTACTATTCTGTGCTTGCAAGTTGTGAGACGTACTTTGTTATTCATGTATTTCAAACTCACAAGCCTATTTGGTTATGTAGCCTATAATTCTTCCCTCCCTTTAGTGTCATTTCCATAAGGAAAGACCTCGAAAATCTAGAGAAGAGTGCAGGCTGCTTGGCCCAGACAGTCCTCATTGGGTTCGAAATTCCGAAGCTTTCCCGCTGCTTGAATCCTGCCCAGCGGCTCAGGCAAGCTGAATCAGCTCTACCAGGAGCTGGGTGCGATCGAAATTGGAGCCCAGGGCCGGGAGAAACTTGTGCTGCACCAACCAATGGCCAGGTTGATTGAGTTATCTGACAATTCATATTGAACAGACATATAACCACAAAACATTGTGAGGAAAAAGGCATTCGCCTTGACTTGTGAGAAGATCCGCGTAGAGCCTGCAGCCCAGTTTCAATGATTGTTCATTAACTAACTCTCCCATGGATCTTTCTTAAAATGGGGGGTCCCCAAAACAATGGCTTTCAATACTATTAAATGTTCTATTTATTTGGGATGAGTTAGGGTACCCTGCCCCATTTTAGGAAATTTCCACATTCTCTGGACTCTCAATGGGGAATGAATTGGGGATCCATATCAGATGGGCCAGTTCCACTTGAGGTGCATCAACTTCAGCAACATTCACGCTCAGGTGAAGAGACTTACATGCACTATCATGTTGACAGGCCCATAATCAAAACATGAAAAACATATGCAAATAATTCGGTATATCATTTTTTCCTGAGGACTTTCTACACGAAGACCTCCGCCAAGTCCAAATCTAAGAAGCCGGAAGATGCTGAGTAGCTGCGCCCGCTGAATGGTCTTTCCCTCGGCCCACCCGGCCTGCCAGCTAGCCACCCATGGTCTCAACGGCATAAAAGCTTTCCAGCAAATGCCATAGCAGATGCCGTTTTGGTGCTTGTTTCAAATGATGTTGGCATGGCTGTTTTGGGGCCACTTGACTATAGATGCCGATGGGCTATGAGCATAGATGCCACTGGGCTATATATCCTATGCATATGTGGGATCATGTCGGATCCAAACCTGCCAAACTTGGGCATATGTGAACATGTGCGGACAAAACATCTGTATGCACTGTGTGTTGGCATTGTTTTCCCCAAAGAGGCGTTTGAAAACAATGCATGGATGTTTCAGATGTTGCCAACTATTGCCACCCTTTAAAGTGCATATGTTTTTACCCCATTCTCAGGTAAGATATAATATGATATACATTACTATATATTTTTTTACCCCATTATCAGGTAGGACATGCTGGTTTTACTTCCCCCCGCAGGTGGCTCTGCTGATGAAGTTCATGCCGTAATCCAAAACGTTCTCAAGACCTATGTCGCTCCTTGGCTGCCGGCTTTGAAATTCAAAACTATATTTCACAAGTAGTTGACTGAGCTATTCCAAAGTGGTTATTGATTGTCTGCAACTATAGTTGTATGGTATTGGAACCCATTTTTGAGGTATTTCGTTTCTGAGACTGTATTATAATACCCCCATACAATGCCATACAATGTCTGTCATCTTGACTTTTGCCCAGGTCCATTCTGCGGATGCTGCCATTCAGCAAGCCAAAGGTGCTGGTGATGTGGCGAAACTGGGTCCAGAAAAAAATGTTTTACAACAAATTGGGAATCTCTCGGCATCACAGCCGTCAAACCAAAGCCGTGATTTGGCAAACCACTTACACAAACGTGGCTTCATGCTGAACATTCCCATTAGCTGGTTGAAAAATGTGCCCTGGCATCGCATGGATTATGGTTTTTAATGTTGTTAAAACAATAATAGACCACCTCGTTTAAAATCGTTTATACCACCATGTAGGTGAAATTGGGGATGGTTTATTATTGTTTTGACCATACTACTTTTGTCCCTCCAATGACATTCCTTTTTGTGGCTTTTGTTAATCATATAAAGCTGAACTGGGGTGTTTCTCACGAAAGTCTTCCCTATGGATTGAGGTTCATCCAACTCCGACGCGACAGAGACGGAAGAGGAAACAAAAAGTTTTTCTTCACCCTATGTTGAAAATTTTGGACGTTGCCAAATACCTTTTGGATTCAGAAAAGTATTCCGAGAAGATCCTGAACCATCCAATCTCGCAAGTATGCAAGTGGACCCATGACCTAGCTGAGTTTTGGAAGAAGTGGGAATGTGTGGACCCTACCCACACAGTGTTCAAGGACCATGGAAATGAACTTGATCATTGCATTCCTTGTATGCTACATGGTGATGAAGGGACTGGCCACCGTCGCAAGCCTGTTCTTCAACTTTCTTGGGGGTCATTGCTGCGGGTTGGAAAGAACGCGTTGGAGAGAATGTTTCTGATTACATCATGTGCGCATAAGATGTATTCAAAGTTCAACAAGGGCTCCGAAGCAGGCAATGTTGTTATTGACAAACTGTTGATGGAGTGTGCTAAGTCTGCTTTGATGGCTTACACCAAAGGGATTGAAACCCGTTCTGGTCGGAAGTTTTTCTTGGTGTTCCTTGGGTTGGCTGGGGATCATCCTTTCCAAACCAAAGCATACAGAGCAACGCGTGGGCATTTGAAAGTTGATGTTTGCCCCCATTGTCATGCAAACACCTACAGTGTGCCGTTTGAAGACATGTCGAAGGAAGCTTTGTGGCGACAAACTGTTTTCCAATCAGTGCCATGGGAACGGAACATTGCCCCACCTCTTGCCTTGGTACCTGGGGCAATGCACCCTAAGTTCATACGGTGGGACTTGATGCATATGTTGCCACATGGTTGTGCTAGAAATTTTGCAGCTTCGATCATCTGCATGATGGCAGGGCCTCTGGATATTTTTGTTCCTAACATTGGGGATGGTCGAATGCGCAACAGCAAGGAAAATAGGCTTGATGAAGCTTATTCCCATTTTCAAAGTTGGCTGGATTGCAAACAACAACATGTTCGAGATATGAAGGAGTTTACAGTAGACAACCTGGGCTGGAAACTGAACAGAGACTATCCGGAAATGACTTGCAAAGCCTCGGATTGCAATCTTATCATTCAATGGTTGATTGATTTTCTCACCACTGTGCCTTTTAAGCTTTGCTGGGTGCTTGAGACTACTTTGGCTGGACTACAGGGTGTGGATGAGTTCATGCGTTTGGCCTACACCGGTGATCGAATTTTTTGGTGCCCTGAAAAGCAACATCAGGGTAAATGCTACTTGGGAATGTTCCTTCACGCGTATGTGGAGTTGCAGCACTACTGGCACAAACATGGCTGGACTTTGTTCAAGATTGTTCCAAAGTCACATTTCGCGGCACATTGGCATGAAGAACTGGCAGAGGCATTGGCAGATCAAAAGGAGTGGGCCATCAGCCCTGGTGCCTTTGCAACTCCTATTCTTGAAGATTTCATTGGCACTGTTAGTCGCATATCGCGTACTTCGCATCCTAGCAGTGTTGCCCGCACAACCATCTACAAGTACTTGGTGGAAGTTCGAAAGGTTTGGGGATCACCGCGTGCGTGATTTGAAAAAAAGGGGCTGTGGAGATGTGGTTTCCAAGTGTGTACCCTGAGTTTATTGTAGTTTACCCAACATCAGCAAATCAAGAAATTGTTGAGGCCAGAAATTTTTGTTCGGAACAAGAATCTTTGGTCATTAGCAAAAGCCACAAAAAGGAACGTCGTTGGAGGGACCAGGTATATATATGATACAATATATATATGATACAATATATATATATATATGCATATCTACATTAAGTATACACATACATATCTTCATCTCAATTGAATTCTGGCTTATGTCTACTTTGCTATCCAACAATACTTGCATTTTGCATGCAACATTCCGCTGGCGGTTGGTCGAATCTTCCACTATACCACAAATAAGCATATAAAACCATATAAACCATGTATAGATATGTTTTTGGTCGCCAAACAATTTGGGCCTATTATTTGGAATTGTCCGTCCTCCAGCAAGCCAACGCCAAGCCCCATTCACAAAACAGCGGAGGCTGCATCGCCAGCTGAGCCGAGTCAGGGAAGTGTTTAAAGTTGTTTACCGATCTCTGCCCAGGGCTCAATGAAAACAAATCAGGGAAAATTTAGAAACACTGATACCTTCTGGTAAACTAACATAGCTATGGAAAATCATCATTGTTATGGTGGATATCTTAAGATTCATATTCCTGGTTTGCAAATTATATCCTCTGGTAAACATTCACATAGCTATTGAAAATGCCAATCTATAGTGGATTTACCCATTAAAAATGGTGATTTTCCATAGTTATGTTAGTTTACCAGAGGGTACCTTCTCACAAGCCAAACAAGTTTCAACTGTGTCCACTGGCAGAGATCAATGCCGATGCTCCCGATAGCAGTAGCTTTCTCTGGTGTGCCAGCAGTGCACGGCGACACCGAAGCTGTTTTCCAGCTGAAGAGGGGGCACGCAAGCACTGCATTCGATTTGCTGTCGTGCAAATCTCTGATTGCAGGCATCCAAAAAGGTTTCAGCCGGGCTCGATTTTCGGATTGTACAACATCTCCATAACAAGTGGTGATGCCCCCCCAATTTCTAGCTCTTTTGCTTGGGAAAAACGATGATAATCTGTTTGAATTGGCAGTATCCCATTCTCTGAGAAAGCCACTTGCAGTTTGATTTCAGTAGCATCATATTTTGTGCGAACTTTCGATCATCGATGACAACTTGTAGTAGATTTGTAGATGATGATAAATCTGAGCTCATTCAAAAACGTCCCATTCTAAAACATCCCTTTGTATTGCTGGTTGAAGCACGTTAAATCCACATTTACTGCAAGGTGGAGCCCCATTCTCTATCAAGAACTAGGATTTCTGATCTATCAATGATCTATGGTAGATAGAACTAAATCGCATCCATGTTTTTTTTTCGAAGAAACATGACGAAAGGTCACCGTGCCGTTTTTCGATGAGGATTCCATGAAGATCTTCACCGAGTTGCACGTGAAGGAAACCGTCCGAGCAGTCGGGGACACCGAGCTGTCGCGCGACGGTTCGATGGGCGGATAACGAGGTAACTTTCCTATCCCCAAATGGCTGACCTTTTCAGGTTGAATTATCACCTGCTAAATGAGATAACATAGACCCTGCCAGATAGGGCTTGGAAGATTAGTTTCTACTAAAACTGGTTTCTTTTCAGGGTCTAAATTTACCAGAGGGTATCATTTACAGATGTTTTTAGATCTTTTTTTTTATTACTCATGATAGAATATATAAGAAAAAATAAATATGAGGGAAATCATCCACTATTGTTGGGCTATAATGTCTTTATTACTCACATGATAGTTAAATAGTCATTATGACAGCAAGGACATCATCCACACTGTTGGGTACGAAGGATCCAGAAATGATGACTGCACCGACGATTTGAGCCACATACGTTTCTGACATAGAACGCCTGTCTGTGAAATGGGTATGGATCAATATCTATAAAAATACAATTTTTAATGGGATGAACATCCATTTACCAGCTATTTTGATGTTCACCAGGGGTACAAGGTTTTGACACACTGCCAAATAACTGGCTTTCTATGCAATGAAATTCTATGTCAGCCACACAGCATGTCTTTCGCCTATTTTCGCCTGGTGAAATAGACATGATTTTTTCAGCATGTCTTTCGCCTGGTGGTCATTTCTATTTCTGGATGACAAAAACACAATGTAGGTAAACAGCTATCTGACAAAATCTATGAGTCACACAGCCTGAAACATGCCATGAGTAAATTTTAGGGGTCAATTGAGTTGTTGGTGCCCCTCTTTGATTGTCTGACTTGTGAGGGCTTGACTTAGAACGCACACATCTCATACTTATCTAAGTCGACACGTTGACTTCAGATACAGTCAGTATCGTCAAATGTATTCAACCGTCGCATATACCTATGATATCTCATCATATTCCATGATATCATATTTCATAAAATCCCACTATTTCATGGTGTATCCTCATCCCATCTCCATCAAAAATCCCAGTTATAGATCTCCATGATATTCCACTAGATCTCCACTATATCCCCATTGGATTCCATATTATTCCAGTTATATTAACAATATTCCCCAACAATATTCCATTAATGGTCACCCTCTGGTAGAAAAAAACATGGCATTTCCATTTAGTGAACGATGATTTTCCTCCAAAAAAAACTGCAGGCTGGGGATTTCCCCAGCCATGTTTGATGAGTTCGGAGGGCTTGATTTCCCCAGTATTTCAGGGACCGAGGGTCAGTTTTTCAGGTGCAAACTTTGCACAACGAGAACCTGTTTGCTGTGGCGCAGAAGTCCGTGATCTCCCAGTCAAAGCTGGGCCATGTGTTTGGGGCACTTTTTTTGGGCAACACCTAGGGGAGTTCTACCAACAAAAAATGGGGGATTTTATCACCAAAGATGGGAGTTTTTCCAAGGATTTGAAGCGAACACTGAAACACAGGGAGTTTCGCTGGCAAGAGTAGGGATATTGTTAAACAACTGTTATTGTAGTTATTGGGAACCCCAAATCATAGAAGTTATTGTAGTCATTCGAAGAGTACAAGGTGGTTTTCCCCAAAGATCATTTTATCAATGGGAATTCCAGCCTTATATATATAGGATTTATATCTGGTATGTACCTCCAATCAATCGGTTCCTGAAATGGCCATTGATTTTATTGGTTTATAATAAACCCCATGAACTAGTTCCATCGATGTATCATGAAGCCATTCAAGCCATTCGTGGAGATCTAGGGCACCACCTCGTCGAGTCCTGATAAAACTAGCGTAGATCCAAATTGAAGAACAGGTGGGTAAGTGGTTCCAAATCGACCACCAAAAATCACAGTAAGGACAGGATTGATGATGATGATGATGATGATTATTATTTATTATCACTACTATTACAATTATATATATAATATATATAATTATATACTATTGTTGTTACTACCACAGGCCCATAGGTTGTTATCATAATCAGTAATTATATATGTAATGATTACATGATTGCTATATTATTGCCATAGGTTCTTAACCCTAGGTTGTTACCAGGATGAGCCACCCGCCATGGTTTGGTGTCATCAGATGCAGCTTTTCATGGGGAAAGCAACGAACCAGCTGAACTATTGTAACTATTGTTGGACCTGAAAGTTCAGCTTGATGTTTCCTAAATTTTAAGCTTGAAGTCCGACGTTCATCTCTGCTGTTTGGGCTCAGTGTGCAAGATGTAGTCCTTCGCAAACAACCTCAAGTTGTGTAGCTTGAGGCGCGCCGATCGAGCCTCGAAGCTTCCAACGGAGGTTTTTCCATCTCAGCTGCTTTTCCCAGCGAACTAAAGCTCCAGTTCGCAGGGATGTTCCCATGATTTTTTCCGAGGGATTTTCCCATCAAGGATTTCCATTCAGGGGATTTTCTAGCCACCCAGCCAGGAAGGAAGGGTGACATGGTGCACCTTGAAGAACAACTTGTGCCAGTTGCCACCAAGTCGCTTGGAAAGCGCTTGGCTGAGGCTTGCCACCAACTCGCAGTGTGTAGAGTGGACATGGGATGTTGGAGACCACTGTGAAGACCTTCACAAACCGATATCCGATGACCACTCACTTATCGATACCCTATTTTTACCTGGTTGGTGGTTTGGAACACTTTTTATTTTCCATAATATATATGGGATAGTCCTTCCCATTGACTTTCATATTTTTCAAGATGTTTAAAACCACCAACCAGTTACTATACATAGCATGGAAGTACAAAGCCTCACAAGGGACAAGGGAGACCCACTTTGGCCATGTCCATGGCGAGCTGCAACCAGCCTGTGCCAAGGCCGAAAGTGGAGAAGGCACAGATCGCCTTTGGGCGATTTTTCAACAGGAACCCAATTTCGATGGTTTAAAAATCATCAATGGTTTCCTGCATTTTTTTCTTGAAACTGGGTTGCCAGTGGGAAAAATCTTCGATTCTGTTGTACACTTATGAATTACAATGACCTAAAACACTGCTAGAACCTACCCTAAACCCTATTTTTGTTGTAGGTATTGTAGGTACATAGTAGCCACCTGAGCCTGGGACATTGGTGACATTTCATCCTTTTACCTTGGAGCGCCCGGAGCAGCGGTTTCCGGAGGTTGAGACTGGCATCATCACAAGTGGCAAAGCTACACGCATTGTTGAGATTTACAATGAGGTTGGGACGAACTCCGTAGTTGGATGAAGTTGGATGAAGTTGGGGGAAACTGTTTTTACCGTTTAACTGGTTTATGAATCACCAGCAAAGTACAGTACTGTTTTATAAGGGTGAATCTTAACCATTGTTGCAGAAGTCACCTTGGGGGTTGTTGTAGGGTTAAGGCCAACAAATGGCTGACCCGTTGAGAAGGGTCAGTGCAACCTAAAATTGGATGCCCTTCGGTAATCAAACATGACAATGGGAAATCTCCGCCTTATAAATGGGCATTACAATGGGTAAATCATCTATTATATCCAGTGCATTTTCCATTGCCATGGTTGTTTACAAGAGGGGAAACATCAGGAAATCGCCAGCTGAGTGCAACCGTGTGATGTTCCTTCAGATTTCTTGTTTTTTCTTGTAATTTTCCCAAATGCAGCATTGCCAATCATTTGGCATGCCTCCAAAATATAGAATATTTTAATGGCGAAAATGATGAGAAACTATGGGACTTGGACGTTTTCACTAGATGCACTAAATTTTCAGACAAACCTAAATGGGCACCATTGTTCATCATTATCTTACCCATCAAAATGGAGTTTTCCTAAGGTGGGGGGGGTGCCCAGCACCATTGCTTTCCAAATTAAAGATGACAAACACATTGGAGGATTTCGGGGGTCCCGCACTGTCGCTGGGACGTCACTGGAATGCTGGTTTCATGAGGAATCATCAGGTTGGTGACATTCATCCTGCTATATCCCTTCCACCTAATATTGAAGATATTGAATACCACCTACAAACCATGCTTAGTATTGGATTCTATTCATTTTTGGCCATATGGGCGGGGAAAGACAATATCCATCAAAATGGATAGATGATGGTTACATATGGTTGCCATAATGGATTAATGGTAATTACCTTGGTAGACTAATCATATCCACACAATATTCACCAGGATTATGTATATATACATATATCATGCCCACCAAGCCAACCATTTTTCCCATAATATGTCCATGATGATATGCCCATTCTTACCGATATATCCCCATAAATCATTTGCCCTTTATATAAGGTACTTCAATTGGAGGCACATCCCCCTTACATGGCCCTAAAACATATGCCTGAAAAAAATGGTAGGTACCTCCAGTTTAGGTACCCTCTGGTTATTTAACATAGCTATCGAAAATGGCCCATTTACAGATGATTTTCCAATTAAAACCTTCATTTATAATGGATTTCCCATAGCTATGTTAAATAACCAGATGGTACCTGAAATGTCCATCGAATCAATGAGCATTGAGAAAGGGATTCCCCGTTCGTGGATTTTTTCATAATCCCCGATGCATTGGATAGTCCAACGTCCAACCTCACTCATCATCCAGCAAAAAAAAAGGACTGCTTAGTATAAAAAAACATATGGTTTCCTAGTTAAAAAGTACAGGAAACCATCGATGTTCCCATTATATATGGGTTTTCATGGGTCTTCCTGTAGTTTTTCCCCTTAAACCAAGCCATGTGATACCAGATATCCCATGCCACTCGCAGGATGAGACGGAGTGCATCACGATCGGAGCCTCCAGTCTCGCGCTTGGAACTGCTGAAAGGGAGACGAGTTTTTCCAATGGTGGTACCCTCTGGTTATTTAACATAGCCATGGAACATGGTCCATTTATAGATTGTTTACCTATTAAACATGGTGATTTTCCATGGCTGTGTTAAATAACCAGAGGGTAGATGGTGGTGCATGGTTAAAAGTGATGAAAGGTGGTGATTTAACCATCAACAATTCAGACACATTCGAATTTGACCATCAAAAACATTGATTTTTCATCCTGAAACATCGGGTTTGTCTGGAAATGGAGGATGCAGTAGTATACCCTTAAAATGGTTGTTTGCAATTCAGAAATTATGATAAACTGTTGGATTTGGAGGGGATATTTTCAGAGAGTTTCAAATACCTAGTAGTTTTCCAACAAAAGCTGGGGGATACAAGACTTACCTTACTTCGTTTCAGCGTTTATTCCAAGAGAAAACAAGGATCTTTAGAAGCAGCTTTTTTTAGCGGATTTCAATTGGGGCAAAGACATTTTGACTATATGGACATGGCTTGGCTTAGGCAGTTTAATGCCACCATCCTTGTGATAGCAATCCACCGAAAATGGATGGTGTCTTGACCCATGCGGCCTGCCATGCCCCATGACTGGTATGATATCTACTCCTACGTGAATGTTTATCTGGTTGGTGGTTTGGAACATTTTTTATTTTCCATAATATATGGGATAATCCTTCCCATTGACTTTCATATTTTTCAAGATGGTTAAAACCACCAACCAGTTATATACCACCACCTTGGTGATGATCATCTTTCGAGCACAAGCCTGGTGCTGGGCAGTCCCCCTGTATTTGGCTTTATCCAAAAACAAAGGAAACTCAAATTTTAGAGTACCATACTTCAGGAAAATGAGGTTTCAGACTCTGGGGTTTTCGGGTTTTCCAACAATTTTCAGACACACCCACAAAAATGAATATCATATTGTTGTTTCTACATCCTATGATATCCCATCATTTTTCATTACATCTCATTATATCTACCATTAAAAAATCCCATTCATGTCATATCCCATTGCTGGATGGTCCGGAGAGTCTCCAACGCCTGGATCCAGGGGATCCAGGTCCGGAGAAAGCTGCCATGAACTAATCCCATTAACTAATCCCTGGTTGGTGGTGACTGGAAAATAGTGATATTAATAGTGTGAAGTTTTGCATGGCCCCTGCACAGGATGACACGCACATAGGACAGAAGTGTAACCAACTGACATGCCCCGCAGAGCGCTCTTGAGTGGATCAAAATCGAGTTTGGTAGCGGAGCGCTTCGGTGCTCGCTATCTGCGGAGCCATTGGCCTGCTGCTGCTCGATCGGCTGCTACCTCCAACGAGGTTGCCGTGTGAGCACGGCGGGTCTGGCGCTGCTGTGGCGTTCTACGACCAGGGCAAGGACATCACGACGAAGGAGCACTACAAGCTGCGGAACCAGGCGACGCACTTCCTGGTGGCTGCTGGTGGTGGCTTCATCCTGAACATCACCTACCACCTCCTCTTGGTCTTCGTCTACGGCATCTTCCTGAACGACCTCTACGCCTTCGACCTCAAGCTGCACTTCGTGGACATCCAGCCGAACTACGTGGGCATCCTGGACTTCGTGGACTACAAGATGCAGCAGCCTCCGACCTCGAGCGGAAGCATCCCGCTCCAGGAATACCGAAGGGATATTCCACCGGGGTGGATGCCTGGAAACCCGAGCTACCCGCTCAAGGAGTACTTCGAGAAGCTCAGGCTTTGGTACCGAGTATGTGGCTTGGAGGACGAGCTGATCGGTCCAATGATCGCTGGTCGCTTGTATGGCCGTGCCTCCAAGGTGGCGATGGCTCTGAGGGTGAGAAGGCCTGACGGCACCTACGACGTGGGCGATGCGGCGCTGGTCAGATTGGCCGTGGATGAGGTGGTCGATCCAAACACTGGCCAGGTGATCCAAGCCCACATTCCCAGCGGAGTTCAACACTTGGTTCAAGCTCTCCGCAATGCCTTTGGCCAACAAGACCATGACATGGCCACTCAGGCGCTGGAGAGGTTTTTCTCTCTCACGAGAGGAAAGATGAGCCTTGCCGAGTATGCGGTGGAGTTTGATTCGAGGATGGATGAGGCTCATGACAGAGCCGGCCTTGTCATGAACGATGTGGCGAAGTTCTACCTGTTCTTCAAGGGTTCAGGTTTGAGCAACAAGGCCATCGACGACATCAAGCTTCAGGTCCAAGGAGATCACAGTCGCTTTGCAGATGCTCGAGCTTTAGCTTTGAGGTTGTCCCCATCTCGACCCGAAGAACATGGCGGCGACGTCTTCTACGCGGACCAGGACGACTATGACGAGACGGTCAACTATGACGCCTGGTATGACTCCTCCGAGAACTATTGGTACGACGACTACTCCCAGGACTATGGCTATGACGATGAAGGCAGTTGGCACTGGGATGGAGAAGAGCTCTACTATGGCGACATGGATGACTGGTATGATGAAGATCAAGAATGGCAAGAAGACGGTTATCAAACCGCCCATGAAGACTCCCTGGAGACGAACCCTGAGAATGCCGACGAGGTCAAGGAAGAGTACTACAAGGGAAAGAGCAAAGGCAAGGGCAACAACGATGGTTGCTTTCGATGTGGAAGCAAATGGCACATGGCTAGAGACTGTCCGATGAACGACAAGGGCTATGGCAAGTCTGGTGGAAAGGATCAATGAAAGGCAAGTTCAAAGGAAAGAGCAAAGGTGGATGGCGATGGCGCCCCAACTACCAAGGAAGCTACAAGGGCAAAGGCAAAGGCAAGAAAGGTGATACAAGGGTTCCAAAGGCTATGGCAAGACCAACTGGTACGTCCATCGACCCCCATTGGACGCCTACGATGGAATCCCGTCCAATGTGCCGAGGCAAGACAACTCCGAGGAGTTCAACATCCACACACCGCCTGATGCAGAGGACTTCATGAGCATCCCGAGATCTTCAACCAGGACAAGATCTACTTCGGATGGTCATGGACAAGAACATGGAGCTGTCATGCCGGAGAAGCGCATCCACGAGGCCTTCAGCTTTGCCTTCAACAACTACTACCAGGCCACGGACTACTTCATGGTCAGAGGACAGAAACGTCGAGGCCTGATCATTGATCCAGGAGCTGCCAGTGGACTCATCGGATCAGAGACCCTTCGAGATCTGGTGGCAACATGTGTCAAGCCCTTCGGCAAGGAGATCTCCATTGAGAAGGACGTGACTTCACCAGTGTCAGGCATTGATGGAAAGTCTGACCAGACTCTTGGACGAGTCACTGTGCCTTTGCTGTCGTCTGGAAAGGCCATCAAGTTCTGCGGTGAAGTGATTGGAGGACAAGGTTCTCTTTGCCCAGCTCTAGTTGGAAATCCTTCCCTGAGGAAGATGAACTGTGTCATTTTCAGCAACTACTTTTCCAACGGTGATGGGCTCCTCGCCATGAATCACAAGGAGGAGCCACAGTCATCGAGATTGCTGAGATTGCTGTTGACTGACAGCGGACACTACATCCTTGCCACCGACGGCATTGACGAGACCAAGATCACCAAGGACGTGCAAAAGGAGACCTACACGTTCTGCAGCAAAGTGCTCTCAAGCAGCATCGAGAAATGGCCAAAGTCCGAGATCAATCCCCGGTTGCTTCATGTCTTCGCTGTGACGCAGGCAGGAGGGAACCGGTGTGAATGTGAACAACAACAATATGAATCACGTGAACATCGTGAACAACAAGAATCCTCCTCTACTGATGACAAGGACAATGGCGACAAAGCTGCCAGCATCATGGACAAGCCCGACAAGACTGACACCGATGCGACAGTCACCCATGAATCTGATGGCAAGCTCGACTTGGACAAGAACAACCACGATGCTGTCGAAGCTGTTTCACAACCAGGCATTTTGCCTTCCATGGAATCCACAAAGGAGCCCATTGAACACAACGTTTTTTCCAGTGAGCCCAAGCTCTGCGGGCCTACATCTTTTTCTGCGACAACTGAGGAGTTGCCGAAGATTGTCAAGAAGGTGCACTTCGACGATGCGCATCAGCCTGCCTCTTTGGAAGCAGCATCCAACAACGTTGAAGAGCCCTCCAACAAGGATGAGAAAGACTCCCTGGACATCCACTACAAGGAGTCTGACTTTCCCATCTACACTGAGGACATGCTTCCTGATGGAGCAGACCATGTCAAGCTGAAGAAGCGCTACAAGGCGATCAAAGAGGAGTTCTACACTCAAAGTGGTCACCGACCAGTGACACCCTCCAACTTTCGCAGTTGGATGAACAAGTCCAAGGGCAGAAACAAGAGATGGCACTTCTGGGAAATCTTCAGTGGCTCAGGCAGACTCTCCCTGACACTTTTGCTTTCAGGCTTAGCAGTTGGACCTCCAATCGACATGAGGTATGGCTGGGACGTCAACAACACTTCTCATCAAGCCATGCTTCTGGAAGCCCAACGAGAGTTCAAGCCTGGCACTATCCACTATGCACCTGACTGTGCACCCTGGAGTGTGTCATCAAGTTCCAAGGATCCAGTACTACGACATCAAGATCGTCTTCATGATCTTCCAGCCTTGAAGTTTGTCCAGAACAGCTGTGAAGAACAATCCCGAGAAGGACGCGGCTACACTGTGGAGCAGCCCTATGGCAGTGCCATGATGGATGAAGGCTTGCGCCTTGACCGCATCCCTGACTGCAAGAAGAAACAACGAGTCGATCAATGCATGCATGGTGCAGTCAGCGAACTTGGTGATCCTGTCCAGAAGGCAACAGCCCTGATTGGCAACATCAAGTACAACAAGACAGCTTTGAGGTGCAGTGGTCATCAAGGTCAACCACATGCTCATCTACAAGGGCAGACTGGTGGTCACAATCGCACCACCCTTGCTGCGGTGTATCCAAAACAGATGTGCCAACGAATGCGGCAGGACATCATCAAGTACCTCCACAACCGCGACCTCATGCGGGTGAAGACTGAGAACTTCTATGAGTGCGTTCGCTGTACCTTGGGACGCTTTTGCCCAAAAGGAATTGACCACACCATGATTCCTGGACAATGTCGACATGGACGTTATGCAGCTGGGACCAATCCAAAGTTGAAGTCAACGTCATCTGCGGCTGACCCCATCACTGACTGGAAGAAGGCGGCAGACCACGAAGCTTTGGATGTTGTCCAACTCGACAACGAGCTTGACAAGGAGTTCAACGTCAAGGAGTCCCACTACCTGAAGAAGCTGCTCATTGAATCAGTGAACAACGCTCTTGGCCTGTTCACAGAAGCCTCCAACCGCAAGATCGACTACACCCACTGGATTGACAATCCTGTGGCGATTGCCTTATTCAAGGAGCTGTTCAAAGAAGTCATGCAGGTGAAAGCCATCAAGGTTTTGCTGCGACCTTTCAGAAAATCCTCAGCTGAACCACACCTTTCTATGGCTTCTGGCTACCTGCGGCTGTTCATCATTGGCGATGTGAAGCACTGGAAAGTTCTGAAGATTGAAGACATGAGAGAGCTCAGCTTCAGCCAGATCAACGAGGCGATAGATGAGGATGACTGGGTTCTGGTCTTGTATGGTGTCGAACTTGATTCAGTACCAGCACCATCGACACCCGCTGCACGATCCAGATCTATCCCAGCTCAGCCTGCACTACCACCTCGACGAGATGATGCAGCACTTGTTCCAGCGGAACCACAACCCCAAATTCAAGAACGACCTGATGATGAACGAGAAGAAGAAGCTCTGGCAATTCCAGCATATGAAGAGTTTGAGGCACATGGACGAGCTGCACTAGCTCCAGTCAAGCCCAACTACAACTTGCGACGAGTTCTTGAACGACTTCCCAAGTTAGTGGATTCCGGTGACGTGACCACAGCCAAGAGACTGTTGGTCGGCCTTCATGAACGACTTTGGCACACACCGGCAGGAGACTTTTGCAACCTCCTTCGCCGAGCTGGACTTCCTCAACCAGTGATCACCCTTGCAGCTGAAGCAGTTCAAAGCTGCGTGATGTGCCGGAAGTTTGTCAGATTGCCAAATCGTCCACAAGTTCGAGCTGGAGGTGCAACCATCTTCAACGAGACGGTTCAGTTCGACTTGTTCCACCTGGACGACGTCACATACATGATCCTGCTGGATGAAGCTACTCGCTTCAAGACCTGCTCAGTTCCCGAAGGACAAGATGCACAACAGTTGCTGGCCTCTATGCTTCAGAACTGGATTCAGTTCTTTGGTCCACCTGCCCGACTTGTGCTGGACCAACAAGCCTCTCTGATGTCACATGAAGCTGGAGGTGAATTCGAACGGATGAATATCGTTCGATGTCCCAGAGGAACGACTCAAGGACAAGGTGCCGAACAACACACTGGAACTGGCTTGGTTGAACGACATGTTCAACTCACCAAGCTCACTATCATGAAGTTGAAAGCCGAGCTTCAACGCCAAGGTCTGAACCCAGAACCAGCTGAACTTGGAATGGAAAGCGCTATGGCGCACAACCAGACGATCAACTATGGAGGTGCCACACCAAGCATGAGCGTCTTTGGCATCCTCCCATGTGGGTTCTACGACCCTGAGACTCCAGGTCTTCTTTCCACTTTTGGCTCCATGCAGAAGGACGTGACGGTGTTCGAACGTGCTATGCGCATTAGGCAGACTGCCTTGGCCCAGACACATCAAGCGATCATTGAAGATCGTGTCGCAAGAGCCAACCGACATCGTCCTCACCAGCTGGAGACAGACAAGCTCACCGCTGGAGTGTCCGAAGTGGAGTACTACAGAGAAGTTGCAGGAGATCCTGGATGGCGTGGCCCAGCACTTTTACTACGACTTGATCAAGATGAAGGTGTTGCTGTGATCCAGTACCAGGGCAAGCCCTACTTGGTTTCCTTGAGACACATCAGGCCCTATGTTGGCATGTTCCACTTTGAGATGGTCAACGAACCTGTGGAGAACGAACTCAACAACCTGATGAAGTACGTGGAACACCTCTGCGAGTACAAGGCCTATGTCATTGGATGGATCCAGAAGAAGAGTGGCACTTGGACCAAGACTCCAAAGGAGACACCAGCTATCACCAAGGCGATGGAATGGGCAGACAAGATGTCCAAAGCCATGACCAAGAAGCCATTGCATGGCATCATCATGGGACGAGCTCTCAAAACCTTCAAACCTCCCAACAACACGACTGGCAAGTTGGTGACATGGATTCAAGGTGGCAAGAACTACTCCGTGCAGGAGCACTTGAATGCGAACCACCTGAGAATGAAGAAAATCTCTAACTACACCAGGGAGGACCTCTGTATCATCTACTTCTACTACTATAACCTGGACATCAAGGAGGAGATCACCTACGACCCAAAGTCCAAGGAGAAGCCTGCGAATGACCAAAAGCCAAATGGCGATGGTTCAGAGGAGATGGACACAGAGAACGTTCCAAAGAAACGAGATGAGCCAGAAGATCCAGGACTACAAGAATCTGAAAAGAAGAAGCAGAAGGTTGCGATGGTGAAGAAGGACATCAAGAAGGTGGCGATGCTGCAGAAGGACATCGAGTTCCTACGGAGCTTCTACACCATCAACGCCAACACCAAGATCATCCTGGACTTCCCACTGGAATGGAAGATTGGCTACAGCATCATGCTGCCCACGGTCAAGAATTTCCTGACCCAAGAGTATCAACATCGTCAACGACAATGTGGACATCTCTTCACCTTGGCCTACAAGACATCCGGCGATGCAACAGCATGCCTGAGAACCGCTCAGATCTTCAAGGTCGACGAGGAGACCAACAACATCAATGAAGGTGACATCACACCCGATCTATGGCATTTGGTGGATTCAGCCGATCGAGCTGAAGTCAAGCAGTTTGTGGAGGAGAAAGCATTCAAGAAGATGCACAAGAGCAAGTTCACGGCCGAGATGGTCATCATAGATGCCAGATGGGTTCGGAAGTGGAAAAGATACTCAAATGGCGAGTTGAAGGTGAAATCAAGACTCTGTGCAAGAGGATGCTTCGACTCTCAGAAAGACCTCTTGACGACGAGATCTACCACTGCCACAAGATTGAGCCAACGACTTCTTTTGAGTCATGCTGCACGAAAGCGCAGCCGAAGACTCGAGTCCATCGACATTGCTGGCGCTTTCCTGAAAGGTTTTTCTTTCTCCGAGATTCAACGAGCTCTACGTGAAGCTGGAGTTGATGCACCAAGCCGAGTGGTGGTACTTCTACCTCCCTTGAACGTCTTTCGTCACTTGAGTGACCTGAGCCCTGACTTCAAGGGGATGACAGACCTCCAAGCTATGGAGTACGGCTTACTCTGCGTCAAGCCGGTCTATGGGTTGAATGACGCCCCATTGGCATGGCAATTGTGCCTGCACCAGTTTGTCAAGCAACATGGTGGACACCCATCACATCTGGACGACTGCACTTTCTCTTGGAAAGGCCAACGACCAGAAGAACCAGAAGCTGAATCAATTGCCACGACACATGTGGATGACATCGCTCTTTCTGGCGAACAACCATGGCTGGACCATATGCACCAGCTGTTCCTCAAGCGTTTTGGCAAGGTGACCAGACAGACCTTACCATTTGTTCACTGTGGCTGCAAGTATGAGAAAACGCCCACAGGCTACAAGGTCAGCCAACAAGAGTTTGCCAGCAAACTCAGACCTGTTCCAGTACCAGAACGAGAAGACACTTCAAAGCTGACCAAGGAAGAAGTATCAACCTTTCGCTCAATCCTTGGAGCACTTTTGTGGTTGACTGCCACACGCCTTGACATCATTGCAGATGTATCAGTTCTTCAAGCGAAGGTGACAGTGGCTGAGATTCAACACCTCAAGCAAGCCAATGACATCCTGATCAAAGTGGCGGAGTACATCGAGGTTGGACTCCACTACAGGATGATGGAAGCCAAGCACATCAGACTGGTGTGTATTCACGATGCTTCCTCTGCTGCTCAAGGACGAAGCTATGCTCAAGAAGGTTTGCTGATTGGTATCATGGAAGACAAGTTCCACGACGTCACTCTGGAAGCTGAGACAGAATTCCAAGATGGAGAAGGCGAACATGGAGTGGAGAACCATGGTGGAATTTTCCACATTCTTCACGCCAGTGGTTCCAAGGCGAAAAGAATTTCCTACAGCACTTCACATGCTGAAACCTTGTCTATGGTTGGTGGAATGGAAGCCTCAACTATGATCATGGTTAGATTGGCCGAACTACACCATCCTGCGAAAGCTCCCACAATCAAGCAGCTTGTGCAGATTCAAGAAGCTGGCGATCCTAAGATCCCAATGGACTTTTATGGAGACTGCCGAGATCTATTTGAACTCATCACTGGACGACGAACGCTGCCTCAAGACAAATCGCAGCGCTTGTATGTTTTGAGTTTGAAAGAATCAAGAGTTTCTGGAAAACTGCGTATGGCAACTTTGGTGCCTACTGAAGCTATGACGGCTGACTCATTGACCAAGCCGATGGTTCATGATTGCATGCTACTTTTGTTGACAACTGGAATCGTCAGGTTTTTCAACGTGCCTGATCACAAGGTGGTGACGAGAATTCTCCCAGCACTGGAAGAGTACACAGAGCACGACCTTCACAAGTCCGATGACGAGCTGATGGACGACGTTGTCAAGGGCATCAAACAGCCGAAGATCAGTCATGGAGCTGTTTTGCTGAGTTTGTTTTCACGAAGCATGCTACCAATGCTGGTGGCAACGTGTGCGAGTGGTGCAACGGCTCAAGAGTTTGACGAGACCTATGTCCCTGACTCCAATGCAGTTGCGAAGAACAACAGCATTCCGAACTATGCCAACTACTTCGGGGTCTACATCTCCATCTTCCTCACCGTGATCCTCGCCGTGAACATGGACAAGATTCTGAAGTATGTGACCTACAAGGTGACGAAGAAGCTCTACAGGCCTTTGCCGGCCGTGAAGGAGGAAGACACGACAGAAGCGATGGATGTGGACGAAGAAGGCGATCCCGACATGATGGCGAATCGCATTGCTGCACTCAAGCGGAAGGTCATGGATGTGAACGCAGCAAATCGTGCTGCCAAGAAGAAGATCCAAGATCAACAAGGAGAACTGGATGAGCTCAGAGATGACCTACGCGAAGCCAAGACGGAGATCACATCATGGATAGACTGCGCCGACAACTACAGCGCCAAGACCAACATGTGCCTGGCGGATTCGGCGAGCTACAAGAGAGATCTTCAAGAGCTCAAGACCGAGCACGAGGAGCTGAAAGACAGGTACGACCAGGCCCAAAATGACATCAACACCCTGGAAGAGCAGGTGCGACGTCAACGTGAAAGAGGAGATCAGCTTTGTGACAAGGTGGATGATATACAAGGTGCGCTGCAGCACTCCAAGAATGCCAACGCGATGGCTGCACGAGCCAATGCCAGTAAGGACGCGAAGATTGCCGAGCTGACAGCTGCGCTGCAAACTGCGAAGCAACAGGCTCAGACAGTCAGGCCGAGCCGTGCTGCTGCTGCCGATCAGAACGAGGTGGCCGAGCTCACGCAGAAGGTCAACGACCTGACCAAGAAGAATGAGGACTTGGACAGGGAGAAGAACGTCCTGAAGGCGACCTGCGAGCAGCGCGCTCGTGAGATCCTTGGCCTAAGAGAGGCCAATAGGGAGGCAAAAGCCCCTCCAACTGTGCATATCACGCGAGGTGGGTCATGCTACCATAGCGACGGTTGCAACCACCTGAGCCATGCCGGTCAGCCAAGAGCTGTGGTGGAGTTGCGCAAATGTCGCGACTGCTGGCCGTGAGCACAGAGCAGGAGGGCACCGGTGTGAAGTTTTGCATGGCCCCTGCACAGGATGACACGCACATAGGACAGAAGTGTAACCAACTGACATGCCCCGCAGAGCGCTCTTGAGTGGATCAAAATCGAGTAATAGGGTATAAACCAACAACAATGGGAATATGATGGTGATCTGGTTGGTGGTGACTGGAACATGAATGGATTATGACTTTCCATTAGTTTTGGGAATGGAATCATCATCCCAACTGACGAACAAACATATTTTCCAGAGGGATAGGTATACCACCAACCAGATCCGATTTATATCCTACCATCCGCCTTGAAATCCTCCGCTTAGTGAGATGCTGAAATTCCAGCTATAAACCTCCATTGAAGATGTTCCCATGAATATCCCATGGGTTTCCGTTCTCCTCTCTTTTCTTGCCACTGCTGCATCTAGGCAGCACCCGCACACCAGAAGTCCGTGAGATTGTGAGTGATTTGGCCACAATTCCATTGCGAAGAATCAATGGACGGGAAACAAACCCAGGAAAAAAAACATTGGTGTTGATGATAGATATATGATATATGATACATCTACAGTTATGTGGCTTATAAACCGTTGCAAAGATAAGTTTCTGATGATTCTAACTATACTTAAGCTAGGACTTATTGTGATTTTAATATGTATAGTCTGTATAGTTGATGGCTTGACCAACAAACGTCACTTACCATCCAACAACTGGCCGTGAAAAAATTTGGGCTAGAAGATCATCCCTAGAAATCATCAGTCATTGGGGTTTACCACAGTGGTGACCGATACTCTTTTAAAAAAGATGGTCGTTGATCGTGTGAGTAACGACATTTTGCACTGTAGATGAAACACGCCTCCATTTTAATGAAGGTGAAATCGATTTTTCTTAAAGCTATTCTGACAAATCTGAAGATTTTGAGGATCAAACTCCAGTCTGACTTTGTAAACGTGAAACCACCGAGACAGGAACTGGGGACTAGCCGTCGAATCAGCAAATATGTCGAAGTGTTGGACTTCATGGAGCCCCCAAAATCCATCGGGATGGAGCGCTCAACTTGTGGCGAGTTCAGCCTCAGGGGCCCTTCTGTTCACCTTTGGCTGGGAGGCAAATGGATGTTCCAAATATGTTGCCAGAGGTTTTAGCCCAGAAACCTGGATGGTAATGATGAAACTTTAAGCGGAAGGTGAAAGCTTCCGCCTTTTTTTTTTTGCGGCGAAAACCCGCGTTTGGCCGCCTGGCTTGATTTCTTAGGCAGTTTCACCAAGATCGATTCGGAGAAGATTCAGCTGGTCTCGAAGGTTTGGTGCTGAGTTGCTCAGCCAATCTGTGCTTCAAAATCCGTGTCTTAGCGCCGGTTGATAGGTTTTTTGTATCAAAACCTTCCCCGTTTCTTTTTTTGTTGCAGCTTTTCTCAGCCAAGTTCTCAAAAAATCTGGTTGTTGCGCCACTGAGCAAAGGAGAACAGCAGACTTTGGGCCCAAAGACCACGTTCCCGCGAAATGTCACGGGACATGTTGGAGGCCTTTTATATCTGACATTTTAGGTATGTTGTTTGTGTGTGAGAATGGATTCCTTGGGCAGAAATTGTGTAAACTCTTGTTGACCTGTCATTTGGTTAAAGCGAAAATCTGCAGGAAACCTCCAAATTTGGTGGTACAGTCCATAGTTTCCCATACATTTCCCCCTGTATACATCAATGAATAAAATGTCGCAATACAGACAGATGCAGTTTTTCTGAACTTCACTTAGGGTCTTGCAGCGATGGAGGTGTCCTTCCTAGCTTCTGGCGAGATTCTGACAGTCCTGGATGAATTTGAAGGTAAAACAGCCACAGAGTTGAAGCTAGCCTTGGTGCCCAAAGTTGGCATGTCCATATTCAGGCAAAAAATCTTGCAGGGAAGATTCCTGTGAGAATCCAAATGATGAGGTTCTAGCTCCAGCTCCGCTGAGGGTCTAGCTGGTGGTCTTGGAATTTTGGCCACCGAATGCTGAACAAAGGCAGAAGATGATCTCGGCCGCAAGAGACAACGACATAGTTGCACTTGAAAAGTGTCTGCAGCGGCCTCAAAACCCGGACGAGGCAGACGAAAGAGGCCGGACCCCCTTGCATCATGTTGCGGAGGTGGGACATCTTGAAGCTGCACTGCTGCTACTCGAGGCAAAAGCAAAGATTGACCAGCTTGATGTTTTAGGGTTTACACCCTTGTGGATGGCAGCTGAATTGGGTCATGTTGACATTGTCCGCCTACTGGTTGAAGCTGGTGCATTCAAAGATCAAGAGGCAAGCGATGGTGCAACACCCTTGATCGTCGCAGCTGGTAAGGGTCATCTTGAGATAGTCCGCTTGTTAGTAGAAGGTGGTGCAGTCAAAGATAAAGCCAGCCACAACGGTGCAACGGCTTTGTTGATGGCAGTGCAAGAGGGCCACCTTGAGATCGTCCGCCTATTAGTTGACGCTGGTGCAGACAAGGACCAAACCACTGTGGACTGTAAAACTCCCCTGTGGTTTGCAGCTCTCGAGGGCCAGCTCGACATTGTCCGCTATTTAATCGAGCTGGGTGCAGCCAAAGATCACTCCGCCGACTACGGTGCAACACCCTTGTTCGTGGCAGCTCAAGGGGGTTATCTTGACATTGTCCGCCTGCTGCTAGAGGGTGGATGAGAGTGGTGCGGCAAAAGATCAAGCCGCAAACGATGGTGCAACACCTTTGTACGCCGCAGCCCAAGAGGGTCATCTGGAGATTGCTCGCCTTCTCGTCGAGGTGAGTGCAGCGAGTGCAGCTACAGATCAAGCCACCAAGAGGGGTGACAGCCTTGTACATTGCTGCCGGTAAAGGCCATCTGCAGATCGTCACCTTGCTGGATCTGGTGCTGCGATAGGCCCAGCCACCAAGGTTCCACACCCTTGTTGATCGCGAACAGGGCCATTCGGACATTGTCCGTTTTCTGATCGAGGCTGGTGCAGCCAAGGATCATGCAACGAAGGTGAAACACCCTTGTGTTTTGCAGCTGGCAGAGGGCATCTTGACATTGTCCGCCTGTTCGTGGAGAGTGGTGCAGCCAAGGATCAAGCCACCAACGAGGGTCCAACTCCCTTGTGCTTAGCCTCCCAAGGGGGCCATCTGGACGTCGTCCAACTGCTAGTCCAGGTTGGAGCAGCCAAAGATCATGTCACAAATGATGGTTACACACCTTTGCTCCTTGCGGCTGAAGAAGGTCATCTTGACATTGTTCGCTTCTTGGTTGAGTCAGGTGCCGATAGTGGCTTAACTGTCGATGGAGCAACAGCGTTGGATCTGGCTGCGCGACAAGGCCATGCCAAGATAGTTCGCTTTCTGACTAAGCTCGGGGCGACCTCCCCTGCCAGCAAAGTCCAAAGAAGTGAGAATAGCTGAGTGCATATGATTCAGTTTTGTAAAAAGCATGTGCTTGAACAAAGGGCTTTGAAGTTTAAGTTTGGACCGCCAGTATTTTGGTTATGTTCAATGTGTACATATCCTCCCTGGCTTTCAAATCCACAATTGGATGGTCAAATCCCAATTGTTTCACCCCTTTTGGATGATTAAATCATATGCAATCCCGATTGTTTCATCATTTTTGATGTAAAATTATGTGAAATTCAACTTTTTCGCCATTTTGATGGTTAAATCAATCGATTCGATAGATGTGATGGTTAAATCAACATTTTTGATGGCTTCTTCATGGTCAAATCACTGTTTTCATCATCTTTGATGCTTAAATCACTCAAATCCATGAATCATATTGGCTATGGATCAATACCTATTAATACCATTTTTAGGTGGATGAACATCCATTTACCAGCTATTTTGATGTTCACCAGGGGTACAAGGTTTTGACACACTGCCATATCTCCAAACAACCCGCCAGCCCGTTCACCACCATCGTGTGGATTTCCCCGTTCGAACCTACCAGGTGGGCGTCTTCCCCGTGAAGCAACGCTTGTCGGATGAGGTGGCGAGTAAAGTGGTGGCCGTGGGTGTGAAAAGTGTCTTGGACGGAAAACATGCTGAACATTGGGATTTAAGCATCAAAGAGTTTGGGATTTCACATGAACTGATTTGAACATCAGTGTTTAGATTCATAGGTTTTTAAGCACTAGGAATTTGGCCTTTTCATGATGATCATGGACCTTCAACGGATGGTGAAAATAGGGTGTTTTCCCGTGTACGCTGGCCATGAGGGAAATGAGGGACATTTTCAGGTGCACCGAATTGGGGTACCTGGGGTACCTGATTTCTGACTCCGTTGTTTTTTCTTGTGCCATGTTTCGGATGGAGAATGGGTCACTTCTTTTGGAGTCAAAGCACGAAAGTATTCATCAACAATTATGGTGGGGTGCTTCTAGAAATGTGACGCTTTATGGGAAGTTGAAACCAGAAATACGATGGCCAATGGGTAGATTTCAGCATCAAAATGGGGATAGGAAGCAACAAACAAGGAGGCTGATTCAGCTTAAAACGGAAGATGATATGTCCAAAATGCTGGTTATGTCATGCTCTGGGATCATAGCTTCTTGTGCCCCCCGGAAGCAGTAGGATGGTGATGGCAACATCTGTTTGCCCCACTGGAATCCCGGAACAGGAAGCATAGACGCCAACGCTAATGTCAATAATGCTGTGAGTAGCTCTAATCTAGCCAGTTGCCAGTTGCAATACCCTCTGGTAAACATTCACATAGCTATTGAACATGGCCATAGAATGCCATAGAAATAGTGGATTTTCCCATTAATAGCATGGTGATTTTCCAGTTCGTTACGTAAATGTTTACCAGAGGGTAGTGGTTAAATGTGGTGAACCATACTTGTGATCCGTTTATAGATGGGATAACCATGGAAAGCCCACGAATCGGGGACTTACCAACCAGGGTTTTATCCACCTACCGATGATCCTCAGAGTAGAAACCGTTTAAAACACTGACGTCGTCAACGTCTGTGCAGGAAATCGGCACATATCAACTACCCTCTGGTAAACATTAAAAGTGGTGATTTTCCATAGTTATGTTAGCCCGTTTACCAGAGGGTAAGACTGGTCAACTGGTTTGTGATTAAAACGATCTTTTCCAGACTGGGGAGAATCAATGGCCATCCACGATACACTCCAGTTTTTTTGTGTACAACCAGCCGCAACCAGCCAGTGACTTCCACTGCAGAATTCAACATAGTGAACTGTACATGTTGGTCTCGATCTCGAAGCTCTGTTGCCACGGGCCGTACTTAGGCTTTCAGAGGCCGTATCAGAAGTACGAGCACCCCATCATCGTTGGGATCCCTAGGAGTCGTCAGTGCTGAAGTCAGTGCTGGTGCCATGGGAAGTGATGAAAAATGATGATGGGTTTTGCACACAATATATCATATACAATCATATTAATATACATATGGAGGTTTTTCAAGTCATGGGGGTACCCCAAATCATCCAAAACTAGACCATTTTAGTATTGAAACCCAGGGTGACTTGGGGATTTGTCATTTCTCAAGAACCCGCCATAGCGATTTCATCAAAATTTCAGTGTAGGCTTGGCAATCAATGTGCCACTGGGAGGAATTACATTGAATTACATTGATCTCACAAGGTTTCTCACCATGAGTTGCGGTGAGTAGCTGAGCAGCCTATCCATGATCTATGCACAATGGTCGCCCGGCACATTGCTTACATTGGTCGGTGGGTTGTTTTATCTCAATCCTGACGATCGGTTGACACCACCATCCAATGGTGGATTTTGTTTGGAACTCGTTGGGGTTCTGATGGTGCAGCTTTCCGGCTTCCCAGGTCAAGGTGAAAGAAGTAGCCCAATACTTTGCAACAACGACTCCCCATCACCATCGAACTCGCAAAGGATGTTCAACTGAACCAAGAGGAGTACAGGAATTGTTTCTGACTGGGTCAGGACTCTTTCATTTAGTTCGAGGAACAATTTGCAGGAAAACCACACATACTTCATGCCAAACACATAGAAAAAACCCAGACTTTTCCGCAAAAAATCTGTAACTTTTCCGCCAAAAAAGTGTAAGAACTCATCCTTCAATGACCCCTGGGCCTTTAATGCAGTGATCTCTGCAGGTGATTGGCGCTGGTCTAGGAGGCATGCAGACCATGATCAGTTTGATGCACTCGGGACGCAAGGTGCCTTTTTTCGGGTCGGAAAATCATTTGGACCTTGGACCCAGTGGAGGGGTGAAAAATCACAGCAATTTCTCGTGATCGTTTAGGGATTTCTCACAGGATTGTCTATCCCAAATGCTCCATGTAATGTATGGAATATTTACCAACATTTACCCTAAAATCACCCAGTTTTGTAGGTAAATATACCAGCACCATGGAGCATATGGGTATGGTTAGCTTTCCACATTATGTTCAGCATCGCACATGGAACAGAGCCCCCTTCCAAGGCGAAAGGGGGTTATTTTCCTGAATTCTTGAGACTTGGGTGCTTCTTTCAAGGAAGAGTCTGGGTGATAGATGGTGCACACTTCCAGCAATTTTACTGTCGAAAACTGTGGGTGTAGGAGTTTCGGCATCCAGATTTATTGCTGATCCGTCCTTATGTTGGGATTCGTCCCTATAGTCCTTATGTTTGCAGATACCCTCTGGTAAACAACATAGCTATTGAACATGGCCATAGAAATAGTTGATGTACCGAATTTAAAAATGGTGATTTTCCATAGTTATGTTAGCCCGTTTACCAGAGGGTATAATTCTTTTCGATTTTGTGTATCATCATTCATGTCAAGTTGGTTCCCCTTTGAAAGAAATGTCACTGGCGGAATATTTTCCCATCAAAGATGAACAGAAAATCATGGCCTGTGTTGCCTTGGACCAATCCATTGAAATAACAAGCCCCCCTCAGTCAATATACGTGCCATAGTCAAAAAGTCGGCATATCATAGACTAGATATACTTTTCCTATCTTGGGAGATCGTCATCAATCAATTAACATAGAGGAGTATACATAGTATACCCTCTGCTAATCAAACATGGCAAGTAGCATTCCACCATTTATAGATGATGACAATTTACATCATTTTTGCCATTGACCCCGTTGACATTGGAGGAATGACCCTGTGATCCCATAGATCCCATAGATCCCATAGCGGTGAGGACTTGTTATGCCTGGAGCGGCTGTCCACTTTTGGTGGCCACTCTTGGCTGGTGCCAAACTCAGGGCGTGCGTGGCGACCGATAAAAACGACTTGCCGAGTGACTAGGGAAGGGCTGCGAAGTTGGATCGACTGGGACAGTGACTGTTAGTGGTTTCACATACCCTCTGGTAAACGGGCTAACATAACTATGGAAAATCACCATGCTATTAATGGGTAAATCAACTATTTCTATGGCCATTTTCAATAGCAAACTGTTAGTTTACCAGAGGGTATTTTTGATGCTTACAAGTTTACCAGATGTGGACATTGATGGTTCGACCAGTTCCTGACGAAATTGTTGTTGAAATTGGTGCCGAACTAAAAACCAAAACGAACCCCACTCCGCCTTGCGGTGCCCGAGCCTCGTGCTGGTGGCTGCAGGTGGTGTCCAACAAGTACACCAAGCTACAGCCGCCTGGCTCGGGGTCATGACTGTTGTGACATCAACCGAGAACGGGGAGATTGAACACGGGATGGAACCCAATTTTCGAGACGCGTGTTGCTTTGTAGACTTTTTGGTGATATGTTCATTTTGGCTGGTGACACCCCTATTCCTTGTTTGTCATACCTCCAATATCCCAGGGAAATGGAAAAGACACATATCCCAGTTCTTCATTCAGGTTTTTGACAAACATCTAGATCTGAAGTATCAGTGGGATAGTTCCCTTGGAAGCGCGGCTAAGGACGGAGAGCGGCAACTATCATGTGGACTACATGCTTCCAGATGTCCCGGCCACGACCGAGGTGGAGGGAGATGCCTATAAGTGGCTTGGTGAAAGGTCCTACCAGCATCTACCAGCTGGGTTGCTGTCTGTTAAAAAAGTGGGCCCCAAATCCACTGAATTTTTTTCAGTGAAACATCTTGCATCATATTGTAGCTGCTATTTCGGGATTACAAATCCACTGATTCATTCTCATTTTCTCCATTGAATTTGCTGTAAATTTGGTGGCCGTGAATCCAGCATTTTCGGAGACAAATTGGAGATAGTTGGGTGTATCCCAACTGCAAATCATCATTTTCCTGTGAACCACATATATATATACATACATACATACATACTATGTTTCAATAATGGTTAAGTCGCCATTCTTCGCCATTTTTGCTGGTTTGATCCACAACAATTTCCTGATGGTTAGCCGCCTGGAGAATCTCTAGCATTTTTGATGGTTAAATCAGTTAAATCCATATGGAGGTTTCCTAAGTCATGAGGGTACCATCAGTTACATCCATATGGATTTTTCCATTCACAATCCATTTAAATTTTAGATACAGAATTATTCTTCCCATTATAAATCCCACATTATTCCCATGAATTTCCACATAATTTCCATGGAAAGCTCCATATGTTTCATGGTTGGAGCCAAGTTTGACCCGGCGGAGGATCCATCGCACTGAGGACATGGCCCACTCGAGATCAGCTGCTGAAGATGTTTCGAGACGCCGCCAAGTGCGGAGCGCCAAGTGCGTCATATAGGAGACGCCTCCAAAAAAAATGGATATCTAATGATGATATGATCATGGGGATATGTAACTAACAATTATAATATACATATATATATATATACATATTAACATATAATAACATATACATATATATATATATACATATGCACACCCCAGTAATTATAGTAGTTTTGTCATGGGGATATGAATCCAACAATTTTAGATATTATGTGTGACATATGTGTATAATACCAGGTAGGGATTTTACCAACTGGAAGATGTTACCAACAGGATTCAACATGATTGAACAGCTGCGCAACTTAAAGTTGGATCCATAGGATTCCCACTATGGGATAGATGGGAAGACACCTGGTGACAGATATGGAAGTCCTATGGAAAAGCCACATAGCATGATATATCAACGATATAAATGCTGGCTTTGGCAAAACTAGATATCCTATAATCTACTGGAGGGCAAGTGCGGGTCTCCGGCGACGTTTTGGCGGTTTTAAAGGTCATCCCCTAGGTGGTCAACCCATTTGTCCCCAGCCAGGCGGCATAACTTGGGTAGCGACCTCAGTGGGG